TCTGTAGTTGACAGAGACTGTCTCGCCCCTGCCGGCCGACAGCCTCCCTGGTAGGGACGTCGTCTCTGCTGTCGTCTGCTGTTCTGTCTCTTTTATGCTTTTTGCTGGATAGCTCTCCGAGTTTATATTGGGGAACCTAGTAGCTAACTCCGCCCACAAGTAGATAGCCTCCGGCACTACCAAGCCACTCCTTAAACGTCGGCATGTTTGAAGGCTACCAGACTACAATTATAAGCTTAGCGGAAGCAAGGTGAAATTCTCATGATCTGACCTCAGGTCACTTGAGGTCATTAACGCTTTGAGGTGTGAGATCTCAGGCAGACAACTGGCGCCTCTCAGATCCTTGTCTGTGACTCATGTACTCTATATATATTTTAAATAAACTAACTCAAACACTTTTACAGTGTTACACACTGCATGTATTGTTTTGATGCCGCCGAGAGTGTCATCTCAACGCCAAAATGTTAAGAGGTGCTGTGGCCCCAACCTGCACATTTGTGCTGTGAGCTCCAGCTGCATGCAGCAGCCTTGGTTGCTCTAGCAGTACTGAGGCTCACACCCAAGAGGGATGAAGACCATAATTTTTCAAGATGGCATCTGTTTACTGGCGTCCTCTAGAACAGGATGCGAGTCCCGTGTACCCGCAGAAGTTTTGAATCTTACGATATACTAACAAAAGTGATATGCTGGCGTGTACACTCCCTTTCCCCATGCTATCATGGTGTGTACAATACAGTGGTTCTAACACAACATTATCAGTTTATAAACATGTTTAAATGTCCATTCTCACATACACTTCAAATAATTTTGGGATGTTACAGTTGACTATTTGCAGCATACTTTTCAAAACTAACCTCATATCTCTCTTTACAATATGTAAATTAGATTTTTATTGCATGGAATAGTTAAACGACTACAAAGGTTTGGAGATTTCCGGGAAGTTTGGGGAGCCACCAGGAGACCCATCAGGAAGAAGCATTTCATTATCTTCAGTTCTATTTATTTATTTATTTATTTTATTTATTTATTTATGCATATACAAGAATGTACATAAGGAATGTGAGGATACAAATATGGTAATTACAGTCTTGTAAAGCCACTAGCACGCGCAGCGTTTCGGGCAGGTCCTTAATCTAAGAAAATTTTAAGGAGGTAAATACTTGCAAAATTTATAGATAAAAAATGATAACAGATTACATGGAATGAAAAAAAAGATGAGAGAAAATTATAGGTACAGTATATTAAAGCACATAGGTAGCTATGATTGATTGCAATGACAGCTTAAAATGGTAGTTGACAACAAATTGGTAGGCACAATACAGCAGAAACAATATAAGATTGATTGCAATGACAGCTTGAATGGTAGTTGACAAAAAATTGGTAGTCACAATACAGCATATGGCTAGCACATAAAAGAAGACAGCAATGAACACAATGATAAGGTTGTTTGATATTACATAAAAATTAGGAGATTGGGTAACACTAGGTACAGAGCAAATTTAAAGCTCAGTGTAGGAAACTAAATAGATTAAGTTAGGTACTTTTTGGTTTTGCTTTTAAATAAGGCAAAAGTTTTACCGTTTTTCAATTCACTAGGGAGTGAGTTCCATAGACTAGGTCCCTTAATTTGCATAGAGTGTTTACACAGATTAAGTTTGACCCTGGGGATATCAAAGAGATATTTATTTCTGGTGTGGTGATAATGGGTCCTATTACATCTGTCCAGGGAGAGTTTCAGAGCATGGTTTGCATTTAAGAACAGGGTTTTGTAAATGTAGTTGACACAAGAGAATGTGTGGAGGGAGTTAATATTTAGCAAGTTTAGAGATTTAAACAAGGGAGCTGAGTGTTGTCTGAAAGCAGAGTTAGTTATTATTCTGATAGCAGATTTTTGCTGTGTGATGATGGGCTTAAGGTGGTTTGCAGTGGTAGACCCCCATGCACAGATACCATAATTAAGATAGGGGTAGATTAGTGCATAATATAGTGAGAGGAGAGCAGAGTTAGGAACATAATATCTGATTTTGGAGAGTATACCAACTGTCTTAGAGACTTTCTTAGTTATGTGTTGAATGTGGGTGCTGAAGTTGAGTCTCTTGTCTAGGAATAGGCCAAGAAACTTGCCATCATTTTTATTACTGATGTTAATGTTGTCTATCTGTAGCTGAATTGCATTTGATGATTTGCTTCCAAATAAGATGTAGTAAGTCTTTTCGATGTTTAATGTTAGTTTGTTCGTTGACATCCATAAGTGGACTTTTTTAATTCATTATTCACAACATTATTTAGTGTATGTGGGTTGAGGTTTGAGTAGATAAGGGTAGTATCGTCAGCAAACAATATAGGTTTGAGAATATTAGAGACATTAGGCAGATCGTTTATATATATATAAGAAATAGAAGAGGTCCTAAGATGCTGCCCTGTGGCACTCCAACGGTAATTGGTAGAGTGGAAGAAGTTGTATCATTGATGGTTACATATTGGTGTCTGTCACTAAGATAGGATCGGATGTAGTCAAGGGCAAGGCCTCGGATTCCATAATGCTGGAGTTTAAGTAAGAGGTAGTTGTGATTAACAGTATCAAAGGCTTTTCTTAGGTCAATGAAGAGTCCAATCGGAAACTCATTTTTGTCAAGGGCTGAGTAGATAATGTCAAGGAGACTAATGATTGCATCATTGGTACTCTTTTGGGACCGGAAGCCAAACTGGCAGGGGCTGAGTATGTCGAATTTTACGAGGTAGGAATAGAGCTGTTTGTAAATAATTTTTTCAAATATTTTTGATAGAATGGGTAGATTTGATATTGGTCTATAATTGTTTATGTCCGCCGGATTGCCTCCTTTATGGACAGGCGTTACTCTTGCTTTTTTGAGGATATCAGGGAAGGTGTGACACTCTATAGATTTGTTGAACAGTAGTGCTATGGGTGGGGCAAGGGCATGGGAGGCGCTCTTATACACAATGGACGGAATTTCACTGGTGTTCCCTGCCTTGGTTTTTAGAGAGTGTATGATGGACACAACATCTGCCGGGCTGATTGGTGAAAGGAGAAGAGAGTTTGGATAGCTGCCTGAGAGATATGTGTTAATATGTGTCTGAGTCTGTGGGATTTTACTGGCAAGATTAGCACCAACCGATGAAAAGAAACTATTAAGTTCATTTGCCATTTCTAAATCAGTTGACGGTATATCCCCATCCTTGTAGAGTTTTATTTGGTTATGTGAGTGTTGTTTAGTTCCTAGGATACTAGAGATAGTTTTCCAAGTATTTTTCATGTTGCCTTTTGCTTCATTGAATCTATTCACATAATATGCAAGTTTTGCCTTTCTTATGATACTGGTAAGCATTGATGAGTACCTTTTAGCTACTTCCTTTGAAACTAGGCCAATCCTAACTTTCTTTTCATATTCATGTTTCTTGTTGATTGAGTTGAGAATGCCACTTGTGAGCCATGGATTGTTTAATCTTTTGTCAGTTACTTGCTTTGTAAGAAGGGGACAATGAAGGTTGTAGAGGCTTAGAGTTTTGGAGAGGAAGAGGTTAGCTAATGAATTTATATCATGGGTATTATTGAATTCAGAATCCCAGTTAATATTGTGAAGTGCCTCTGTAAGATTGTCTAAAGCTGATTCACTGTGTAGCCTAAATGAAAGTTTCTTGCTTTTTGGTGGTGTTATGTCCATGTTCGCTATGAGAAAGGTAGGATAGTGGTCAGTTGTTCTGTCGTAGATTATACCAGATACAAGGGGAGCTGTTATGTTTGTCCATATGTGGTCCAAGGTAGTGGCTGATGTTTGAGTGACTCGGGTAGGTTTGGTGATAGTGGGGATTAGCATACAGGAGTGCATGCTGTTAAGGAAATAGTCAACTTGAGAGCAATTTTGTTGACCCAGGTCAATATTAAAGTCTCCTCCCAGAATGATGTGGTTTTTGTTGAGATTGTTGTTTATAATAAGATTCCTTAGGTTGTCTGAGAAAGAAGCTATGTTAGTATTAGGAAATCTATAGATGGCTCCAATAGTCAAAGAGGATTTAAGGGATTTAATTGTAAACTGAGCAAAAGTATATTCACAGTAGTCATCTCTGTCACTAATAACACTGTTGCAGATAAATGTATCTCGGTAATATATAGCTGTGCCACCACCTTTTTTATTAGGCCTACAGTTATGAATGGCTTTATAACCAGCTAAGTTGTAGAGTTGGGTATAGTCTTTATTTAGCCAAGTTTCTGTTAAAATAATGAACGATAGGTTAGTACCTAGTGCTGTGAGTAGTGCATTTAAATCGTCAAAATGTTTACCAAGTGATCTAACATTTTGGTTATAAACTGATAGATAGGTGCTATTTTGGAGTTTGTTTTTAGCCTGGTGTGCTGTGAAATACTTGCAATAATGATGATCAATGTGCTGGTTGGTATAGATATGAGACAGAAGATTTTGATCAGGATCAATATCAGTGTGCATAGAGATGCAGAGGGATCACGATACAAGATACACGATAAAGCAAAGCACAAGAATAAGAGCAGATACAATAAAATAGTAACAATTTAGAAGTAAAATAAAGATCCAATAGATAGCCAGAGAGGACACAGAAGTTACATAAAATAAAACACAAAAAATCAGTAGAGACTGACAATATAAATGTAAAATAAAAAATAATAAGAAAAATAATAATCATAAAAAAAATGATCTTGAAGATAATTAGCTTAGTAATGGTTAATTAACAGGGTAATAAAAAGCCCTAGGTTTAGTGACAAGGGGATTAACTAAGAACAAATAATTAAGAGTATAAAACAGGCAAAGATGACAAACAAAAAATAAAGTAAAAATTAAAATAAAAATAAAAATAAACACCTTTGGAAAGGAAAGGCAGAGCTTAAGTACACTTTGGTTGTATGTGAGACTACAAATTATGTTCTGGTTAATCAGCTGATTCTAGATTTGTATGAAATATTACTATGAAGGTAGAATATTGATGCTAATTCCCATTTATTTTTTCAGTATTTGTTTTTCACGACTGTTTACAAAATGATGCTCAAAGCTATCCAGAGGAACTAACACAGATGTACACCATGACAAAGAAATTAGGAGAAGGTAACTTTGGTGAAGTCAGACTGGCTTATAAGCAGGTAAGCTGCATGTTTTAACATATGTTTTTTACATTTATTAATACACCAGTATAACTTTCATAACAGGTGGAACAGGATCTTCTAGCCACTTGGGTAGATGTTTCAACTGAAGTCTACCCCACCTGCTTCTTGTCAGGGGCATCACACTCTTGGTAGAGGTACTGTAGTGGTTCTAGGTCATTGGTATACTTTGTAAATTGCAAATCCTCCCCCTCTCCCTCCTCTCCTCTCCTCTCCTCTCCTCTCCTCTCCTCTCCACCTTCCTCTCTCTCTCTCTCTTCTCCCTTCTCTTCCTGGAAGGGTCCAGCTTCAGTTCACTGTCGGAAGTTCTTGTCAATGCTGTTCTCGTTCATTTGGTCAGCTGTTTGATGGTAAATCCCAGTAATGATATGGGGGGTGAATATCTGTGCACTGTTCCCGAGTGTCAATGCTTGCATCCCGTGTCCTTTCCCAATGACTGCCACAGCCATAGTTTGTCAGGTTGTCTTGGGTTAATCTTGATTTGCTATGCTGGTCCTAGAGGACCAAGGAAACAAGTCTATCCTAGTTCCTGTATATCCTAGGTTCTGTGATTGGCTGGGGTTCTTGCCTCTTTTGGGTACTTTTTGGGGGGCTTGACCTGGAAATGTGTGTCCTGCTTTGCACCAGCAAATGGATGGTTTTGAGCTCCCAGTCATTGGTCTTGCATGCTGGCCTGAGATATATACAGCTGAGGGGCACTGGGCTGGTTCAGGTTCTTGGTGAACGTGCCTAGTTGCAGCTTATGGAAAAATAGAATGGAGGAGTAGAATAGCAAGATTCACACAACAGTATAATAATAATAATAATTAAAAGAAATAAAATAAAAATGATGAAAGATAGAAATAAACAAAAGACGTTAATAAACACACACTTTATGTAGTGTAGTCCCAAAGGGGTCGTTATTGTCAAGTTGGTGGAGGTATGGATGGCTGAGGTGGTGACATTAAAATATTACTTGCCTCTGGCAATCACACATGCCTCCGGTCCAATTTTGTTGGTCTATTTGTGGTTTGCTCTGGTTTCCCTGGTTCCCTGTTTCAGGGCTCGTGTTTCTCAGGTTGTCTGCAGTATCCTATGATCTAATCAGCCTGCAGTCTACCCTCTTGCTCATGATGTTGCTTGAGTATGCCAATCTTTCGGCAGTTTTTGGATATATATTTTGGGCTGTTCTTCGGGCATGGGGGGTTTTGGTAGTTGAACTGCGTCCCTGCAGCCTTGTGGCTGTTCCTGGTCCTGAAGATGCCTTGTGTGACTTTGGGTAGTTTTACGGCCGTTGATCTCATTGTTGTCTTGATACCTGCAGTGCTTCCTTCCTGGTAGGTGCTCTTTCTTCCTTCTCCATGGGTAGAGCACTTCAGGGAGCCACAAGAGGCTTCTCCCCCCCCCCCCCCCCCCCAGTAAACCAGCATTAAATGTAATGAAATGCCAATTTCAGGGTGAGCCCCAGTGGCTTTCTGACACCCACCCTTCCTCATGGCATCGGGGAGGTTCCCATCATAAGAACTGGTGGTGGTGCAGTTGGCTGACCCAGTCTGCCTCCCTCCTCCCTCCAAGTGAGGGGAAGAGATGGGGCAAACTAGCTTGCATTAGTTTCTCAAATTTTCTATCACTTGTTTACATTGTTTGGGAAGTGATTTTGGCCATTTTGAGGCTGTAGTCTGGTTTTTAACCAACCAGTAGTCTTGTTTTGTTTTGCAGACTTTCTGGGTGCCTTCCCAGTGGTGGCAAATATGAATAAATTTACATAAAATTGTTCATAGTGCCACTGCTCCCTCTGCCTCTGTGAAGGGGTCAGGGTCAGGCTCGTGATCCCTGGTAGGCCAATAAGAATTCTGCGACTGATGGCATCTTGTAGTTTGGCAATATATCAGTATAGTAGCTTCAAGGAACCACAAGGGGCTCCCCCCAGAAAATGGAGTCAAATAAGGTACTATACTGTTGAATATTTTGATATGTTATTAAAAATTAAGAACCCGTTGAGCATGCTGTTATGTAGGCAGTACTAAGCTAATTTGCTTTCTGCTATATTGATCTAGTTCCATTAGCACACCCAAATGTATATGGAAAATTTATAAAAATATGTAAAAAATATAGTACTGAATACAAACTCATGTTCAATCATAGTAAATGTGCCATAGTTGGTTTTAACTTGATTTATTTTATCCAGATTTTAAACTAAAATTTCTAGGCAGAATTGGTTTAAATTAAAGTTTTCAAAAAAGAATCAGGAGCCATATTATATCTTCAAAGTGGCCACAAGTATATTTTTCTCATACTATCCAAGACCTGAAAGTCAGAACAAATGTCGCAGAATGAATTTGGTCAACATTATACCTGGCCGTAGGTAAGGTTAAGAGTCAATGTTTTGGGTTGCATGAATGGGAACTATCGGCCCTGTAAAATACTGGCCTTGGTAAACCTAATTATAAATGGAGAAAATGTTTCAGAAACATCTTAGGAGCCCATTCTCGCAAAATCATTGCTATATCTTGCTTGGCCTGATGTCCACACACCTACACTTAAAGAAATAAGTCACAAACAAATAATATTCTTTTGTCTGAAGGATATCCGGAATCCAGCAAACATAAGCTGTTACTGTGGAGAGCCCCTTGTGGCTCCCTGAAGCTACTACCACTGATAGTGAACCATCTATCTGCCACCACATCAGAGGCAGTGATGTGGTGGAGGCTGACTCCATACACACTTTCAAATATAGATATGATAGAGCCCAGTAGGCTCAGGAATCTGTGCACCAGTTGATTGACGGTTGAGAGGTGGGACCAAAAAGCCAGGGGCCAGATTCATGAAGCAGTTACGCAAGTACTTACGAACGTGTACATCTTTCCTCAATCTTTGTTGGCTTTGATTACATTTATTAAATAGTTTACAAGCATGAAAACAAGTCAACAAGACGAAACAAACCACAGCTAGCTCAGAAGACACACTCCATCTGGCCTCATGAACTCCCAGAAGAACTCCCCACCAATGTAAACGAACAATTGAAAAGTTTCAAAACAAGTGCCAGCTTAATCTCCTTACACTTTCCCCATTTTTTTTGGGGGGGGGGAGGTAAATCACAGTCAGCCAGTGACATCCCTCAGTTCTATGCTGATGTGTGTGTATTGGGTCACATCTCTGCTTGGGCTCCAGTCTCCTGTCACAACCAAGTGGTGGTTTGTACCATCATTGGCCTTCACACTGTACGGTGAAGTGTGAACCTGAACTTTAGAATGCTTGGAGCTGCATGGGCACAGGGTTTTCTTCTCAGTGTGTGTCAGAGTCCTGCCCTTGTGCTTCAGGGTCCTCTTCCCTGGTGTGTTCGGGGTCACTCCTTTATAGACCCACCTAGCTTGTGGCGGTCCTACCTGGGATGAGGACCTTGGGTTTCCAGTCTTTACTCAGATAGGATGTGGTGTTTGCTGGCTTAGGGTGTACTGGATATTAAAGTCCTATACATTGGCGCACCCCAGAGCTGCCCAGGTTGGTGTTTAGAGACCTGGAATTGGAGGCATTGGTCAACTCAACATTGGTTCCTTCCGTACCTCCTCCTCTTTACCCATTGGATGTAGTTTGCCCTTCTTCTGATCCTCTACCCTTGCTTTTGGCCCCAAAGTGTCCGAAGTGTTTTGGGTTTGGGGCAGGGTTGAGTTCGGGATGTGGCTTAGTCTACTTGGGGGGTAGCCCCTTTCGACTCTGGTGCAGAGGCAGTTCAGTCAGCTAGTCCCACCAAGGCCTCTGGGTTATTTTGAGCAGCACCCTATTCCTTTTACTCCATTTCTTTGGACTCTGCTTATCTGTCCTGAGCAGTGGGCAAGGATGCTGACCCTGCCCTGGGGCCTCCCCACTGTGGCTGAGGGGAGGTCAGGTTCTGGCTTTTGGTCCCTAGTAGGACAGGTAGAACTCCGTGGCTGATACAACCCAGTAGATGGTACGCTATCAGTGATAGTAGCTTCAGGGAGCCACCAGGGCTCACCCAGAAAAATGGCATGTCACTACATTCAACGCTGTTTCTTTCCCAGGCATTTGCTTATCACTGGCCACTCAAATTGTGTCAGAAATATAAATTTTATTGTTAGGAAATAACAACATATTATTATTAATTAATGCATGTAATGGTGTAGCAGGTCTACATAATATAATGAAACAAGTAGTCTGCAGAGAAAGCAGGGAGATTCTTAGTTAGATGTTTGGAATTACGAAGGAGTTACTGCCACAAAGCGTTGGCCTATTGACAAGTGATGTAAATTCTGTTGAAATCAGATTGATGTGTTGAGAGTGATTGTGATTGAAGCAGGTCTGTAAATCTGTTGTAAACTGCCTAGGGTGTGACCATTTCTATAGCTTTATGGTATAATTACCTGGTTATCTTCCATACTGTATTCTCGTCATTCAAGTTTTGTTAGTTTCTTTTGCCAATTAAAGTCACTGCTCTAATTGTAAGATATAAATTCTAAGACAGCTGTATACCTGTTCTCTCCAGTCACAACTGTAATGATTTGTATAAATCACTTATGAATATACAGTAGCTTCTAAATGTCAATCTACCTCGAGCACAAGCAAAATATTAACTTTGACAAAGTTAGCTTTCTGTTAGGTGTTTCAACAAAGTGCTGACAGTGTTGTTAGCACTTTGCGCTCTAGTCATTCAAACAAATCATTCTTTCTTGTTCATGTATGTTAATTAATAATATATTTTTGTAATATTCATATTTTGTAAAATTTTGTCTGGTTGATACCTGGTTGATACCTGGTTGATGGGGTTCTGGGAGTTCTTCTACTCCCCAAGCCCGGCCCGAGGCCAGGCTTGACTTGTGAGAGTTTGGTCCACCAGGCTGTTGCTTGGAGCGGCCCGCAGGCCCACAACTGTAATCTAACTGTAAGGTCTAACTGTAATTAAAATATTTTTTACAGGGTTCATTAGAGAGATGTGCAGTCAAAATTCTTAAGAAGAGAGGAAGCCAACTGCTTTTAAATAACATACAGCAGATTAAGAATGAGATACAACTTCTACAATCAGTTGATCATGTGAGTAAAAGAATTGAGAGGCAGGTTGCCTTAATGACTTAATGACTAAAACAAAATGTAATTTTTTCTCATCAACTGGGGAAAGTCCTCTTAGATATGAACTCTTTTAGGCCTGGCCTTGGATGCCAGAATGGACTCCCTTCTTTGCCACAAATATCCCTGTTGTGGTTGAGCTCATGGCCATTTGGTATTAGAGTGCTCAACTTTTTTGTCCTGAACTTTGTGTGGGTGCCATTTTACTGTGGCTGAGTGTGTCAGGTTCTTGTCTCATTCAGTTTGTAGAGGATCTGGATTTGTCATTTTCCTCATCAGGGTTTAGGTCTAGAGTGCCCTACCTCACTTAAGCTGTTCGCAGATGCTTAGAAACCTTAAGGGTAGGGATTTGTTTCCAGTTGCCACCATAACAGTGAGGAATGATGGCCGCCTCACCTGCTGCAGGCGCTTATCATGGTCATGGAGTTTGCATCAGTCTGATTAGCGCACCATGGTTTGTTCAGCCAGGAGTGATTTGTTTACCGTTTCTGTTTGCGGCTATCCATTGTTATCTGAGCACCACCCTGGTTGCCTCAAGTGAAACATTGCTTTTTGACTGGTATCCTTACAGCCTTGCTCCAAGGCCCATTTGTCTCGGGTTGTGTGCAGTGTTTTTATGTCTAGCCTGCCAAGGTTTATATTGGGACCTATGATGTAAAGTGCCTACATTTGTGGCATTGTCTGCAGTTTTATTTAATATGTCTAGGGCTCATATTCAGGCTCGGTGGGGAGGGGTAGTTTGGAGATCCTCCATGAGGCAGTATTCTTGTTTTTAACCTCCTTGGCCCGGTCCTTGGACTTGGCATAAGCCCTGGCTCACACTTCTGCTTTCCCTTTTGTTTGTTGTCATTCCCTGAAGATATTGTTTCCCAGTTTTGTCAGCGGCGGCTGTTGGTTGTCACCCTGTCGCTGACATGTGTGTTTGTGGGGGTCAGTCTCACATTTCACGGCAGTTTGGTTGGGCCAGGGCATCACCTGCTCATGGTCGAGGTGGCTCCTCTGTGGTGTCAGGAGCTGGGTCAGATGTGCGTCCTCATCTGGTCGGCAGCGTGATCGCTCTGCTTGGATAGCTGGCTCTCATGGTTCACCTCAGCCCTTTCACGGGTGGCCCCCCTGACGTTGCAGTAGGGAAGGAGGGGGGGGGGGGTTGTTGCTTGCTGGTTTGCTAACTCCTGGTCCCACAATTCATGGGATTTTTACTTTTTTTTATGTGGCCATGCAGTGGTGGAATTGGTTGGTTCCTTGCCTCTCCGGGAATTCAGGTCTTTCCAGGCAGGCTTCTCACCCTCGCCTAAAATCTAAATTGGTTGCCTCAGTGAGTTTCCCGCCTCTTTCTGATCCTGAAATGGGACTCACCGATCTTTGGTTCATACTCAATGTCTCTCGGCTGACCTAGTTCCTTCCCTATCCCTCGTTCTGGATGACCACTTTATCTTGGGTCTGTCTCATACTGGAGGATCTCCTTGGACCTCCGAGACATGTATTGGCATGTCACTGTGCATTTAAGGTTCATAGATTGGTAAAGTTTTGTAATGAGGCAGCAGGCTTAAAGCTTTCAGATTCTCTCATTTGGTCTCAATCTGGCTCCCAGCATGTTCTCATGCTTGGCTCAGGTCATTGTAATGGGGGGTAAGATGTGGTACTGATCAGAGCCAATAGCTAGAATCAAGCTGTATCAAAAATAGTGGGATAGATAGGCCCGGCCCCCAAGGAACTTAGGTTCCTGTTAATGTTTCAAGGTTTTAGATTACAGGTCTGCTGTCTAGTAGACAATCACCTACACCACTTCAACAGGATTAATGGATATACCTCAAAAACTAACTTATTTATTAAACCCTCTACTAACCCCCCATATACATTACTACAATAAAACACTTTGCAACTCTACCTTACGTTAACTACCTTGGTCCACATAGACAGGATACAAGGTTTACACTTGGAAAAAACTAGGGTAAAGTCTACTTGAAGAGTTATACTACACAATACTTATAAATAAAACACACACCTAGCCAGTAACACGGTATAGTAATGCTTAACTGGTAGAACCAAGGTTATAGGATAAGGTAAGGGAAGAGGAGGAGTAGTAGAAATAGAAACACACAGGAGAGTTATGTCCACTACCACACAGCCAGCCAGAGAGAGCTCGAGCAGCCTCTCCGCTCCCTTAAAAATGCTGCCGGGAAGTGACGCCTAGGTGATTTTACACCCACAAACAATACAAGTCTTCACCGACATTCGTTACTAGTTACTTTAATAGTTCTAAGAATAGCTGATAACTAGTTCAATATTATATTTAATCATCAACAAGCTCAGAGTCTGAATGCTCTGTGAGAAACAAGATTCATCTTACGTTTGGCAAGGACGGCAGGAATAAAGCATACCCCCAGTTTAAGGAGCCATGATATAAATGTTATTGTTAATTAAATATCCTTCTCACATGATCCAATTCTATGAATTAACCCTTAAACTGCGCAACGCGCCTGCAGGCTCACGTCTGGTTTGCGCAACGCGCCTCCGGGTATTTGTATTTTTCACGTTCCATTCAAAACTCCCGCGGCTACATGGGGTTCACATCAGCTTCCTCAGGGCTCTTGTAAACAGACGCCATCTTTAAAAAAAATCGTGGTCCACATTCCCAGATGTGTGAGCCTCAGTAGTGAGTGAGCAACCAAGGCTAGTGCTCACAGCATGAGCGCAAAGCACTGCTGTTCAGCATGTGACCACAGCATCGCCTAATAATGTCAAAATATATATATAACTTGTATTATTTAGCTATGATAGTGTTATATTAGAGCCTGAGTGTGATAATGACTGGGTACAATGTTCAAATATCAGTGATTCAATGCTGTTCACGATGTTCACAGCGCTAGCCACAGCACCACAGCATTATTTCGTTCATCTAGGAATCTTCAAATGATTTCTTAGGTTCCTTTTCAAAATATACGTGTGGTCAATTATTCATTTACAGGAATTAGTGACCAGGATTGTGATAATAGCAGGATTGTGGTTATAATTAGCGTTGTGCGTAGGTAGTATTGTGGAAGGAGGAATTTTGATGAGGGAGGGAGGGCGAGAATTGAGGTAACCTCATCGTGTGTGTGGCTGCCACTCTTGTTTTGCTCACCATACTAGCTTAGTGGTTCGCTATGGGCAATACATATGTACATGGGTATATATAGTGTGTGTATATAGTGTAAGAACAGCAACAGGAGAATGTTGAGAGGAGCTATTTTGGTGAGGGAGGTGACGTAATCGTAGCGTCGTCTGCTGTGTGATTTTTCATGCAGTGTATTGTGGCCACTGTACTGTTTGGACACAATACCGGCTTACTTGCATAGTTCTGGTAAATAAAACATGTAGATAGGTATATAGAACATGTGTAATAAGAACTATAACAATATGGTGGGATGAGCAATGTTGGCGAGTAAGATGTTGGAGTGAGGGAGACTGGCTGCTCTCACTCGAGGTGTTCTGAATGTGTTCATGGCCAAATGCTCCTATTGGCCCATACGAGGCAGCTGCTATTGGCCCATACGGGGCAGCTGATATTGGCCCATACGAGGCAGCTGATATTGGCCCATACGAGGCAGCTGATATTGGCCCATACGAGGCAGCTGCTATTGGCCCATACGAGGCAGCTGATATTGGCCCATACGAGGAAGCTGATATTGGCCCATACGAGGCAGCTGATATTGGCCCATACGAGGCAGCTGCTATTGGCCCATACGGGGCAGCTGCTATTGGCCCATACGAAGCAGCTGCTACGCGGTGTTCTGAATGTGTTGATGGTGAATGTATATAGTGTGTGACAGTGTATAGTGTGTAAATAGATTGTATATATACACAAATTAGCATGATACATAGTAAATATGTGCTGCATATGTGTACACAAGTTTCATGCACGTAACACAGTGTCTACGGACAGTACGGATGTTGTACTGCGATATTATAGTGTACGTGTTCATTATACATTGGATTGGCACATAAAAACAATGAAAATGTATTTGGAAAGGTGTGCAAAAAATGAACGAAAATATATTCGCGGCAACTCGCACGCCCCGCCCCGAGCGCCCCACCGCCCCTGAGAGCTTACGGCACTGGCGCACGGGGAATGATGACGTCACGCCCCAACTTCCGGACCCCATAGCAGCCAAAGTAAGTACAATTTCGACTTTTTTTTTACATACCCATACTGAGGGAAGGGTTTTTGACACTTTAAAAAGAAAAAAGAATTTTTTCCAGAGAATTTATTTCCTGCGCACTGCGGGGGTGTCACATTTGGAGGCAACGCAGTTAAGGGGTTAATGTATAGTAATTATTTAGAGCTCAATTTGACCTCTGGTTTCCAACTAAGGAACCCAGGGTCATAACAGTCATCATGGCTCGTCTTTTGTTTGTTGGGGGGTTCATGTTTTGGCCTACCTCGAAATTTGGCTGGTTTGGGCTCCCAGTCATGCTGAGTGTGGGCTATCCAGGTATTTGGTTCTTTCCCAGTTTGCTTGATTCAGGTTCCTTGTAAACTTGTGGAAGTTCCAGCTTGCTCCATCCTGGGTTCAAACTTGGCTGGGCCTCGTTTGAGACTTGGTCAGCATCGCTTTCCCTTATGGCGGCCTTGGGCCGGCTGCAGTGCCACCATCTGTTGGTGCCGAGTTTGCTGCGGGTGACTTCAGTTGCTTGAGCAGTTTTGCAGGAACCTGAACTTTGCCTGCATCATTTTTCCTCTGGGCAAAGTGTGGCTTTGGAGGCTGTTCTGGATTTTCCAGTTCAGTCCCTTTCATTGCCGCTATGATCGATGGGTGCAGGGCCCCATTGACCCTTCACTAGCTGCCGCACCCCCGATTTCCTCTTTGGGCTTTTTGGGTTCAGTTCCCTGGTGCTTTCCTCTGCCCTCACTTGACTTCTTCGCAAATGCTTTGGCTCTGAGTTGGGGCTTTGTGACCAGCGTTCACCAAATTTGCCAGTCGCTCTTGCTTTTTGACATAAACTTCACTGGAAAATTCACCAAAATCTTTGTTCTTCACAGAATATGTGGGCCTTATCAATACAGATTGTACCCTCACCACAAGTGTGTCATCCTAGACAACAGGACACCCTCCTTAGGTGCCAAATTTTCTTTTCCCTGTGGACCATAGGCAGTGGCTCCACGTGCAAGACCAATGATACTGCTACAAGGCAGTCATCTCTCAAAGCTAACTGGACTTTGCTATCATCTCACAAACACTTTGCTATGACCATCAACACAACTCATTTTTGCTATCCTGACTCCGTTTCCACTGGTATGTTTATTTTTGTCTTTATATAGAAGACAAATAATGCAAATAGAAGACCTCGATAAGTTTCAATCTCTGCCAAATCATGAACATTGATGCGCCACTGTGAGTGCCACATCTTTCAACATTACCACTCGTGCAGTCATTGGGAGGAAAAAACCTTCATGCAAACTGCACATATCGCGAAGAAGAAGAAAGAGGTCAGGACAGTGTGTGTGTGTCGTAACCAATGGCAGTCTGAGATATACAATGTCATACCCGACCAGAAGCTCTCATTGGCTACTCAGTGTCATCATATTATATCTCATTTAAAATGTGTTTTAAAACATTTTTAAATCTGCCGAACAAAAACTGGCTACCTACCAGCCAGTGTTTCATCTTCCCCCACAGCATATGAAAACGGTTCAAAATGTGGATGAGGTGGGAAATAACTTGGATCGAGAAGAGGTGTGTCTTGTTAAGTACAGTACTGTAATCGTGCGTAATTTCTAGCAAGAATACTATGCAATTCTCATATTTAAAATTAATCAATACTGGTATGGTGACCGAGTCTTGATGATAAACCAATTTTTCCTTGCCCAAACTCTTGTCCAAGGTACATTAGAGCATAATCCGTTGAGTTGTGTGTAAAGTGTTTTGAATTCAGGCAGTAAAGATGGTGGCTGAATTAACAAGCATTTGGTCATTTTGTTATGAATAGCTGCACTATTCAATTGAATCTATAGACACTTGTTTTTTCCCTATGTTTTAACACTTGTCTGTAGTGAGACATCACATTGTCACACTATGAATGATCTCTTGTTTTTCCTCTATCGTCATCCTTACAACTATTTTCTTAGGTTGAACTTTACCACTGACCTTGGAACCCATGGCATGATATATATAATAAGAACTTTTATGTTTAGAAACCAAAAAAGCACAAAAACAATTAAATTCGTCACAAAGATTTCAAGCGCGGTTGTCACCTCGGCAGGACGCTAATAAACTGAGGTGTGCCTCGCCGTGACGGACCTGTACGTGTATAAACAAACTCCAAACACTGAGGCAAACAACGAGTACCGAATCAAATTTTTCGAAGAAATTAAGTATGAATACCAAAAAAATACGAAAACGGTCATACAAAAACCAAGGTTCCAATGTATATTGTAATGTATATACTATACTGGGTTGCCTCTCATACTGTACTCTAAAAGAAACACAGGGTTAACCCTTAAATGGGGCATGGCTATATACTATTTGACACCCACAGGCGCATACAAAAAAAAAAAATATATATATATATATATATATATATATATATATATATATATATATATATATATATATATATATATATATATATATATATATATATATATATATATATATATATCTTCCTAACCTGTTAATTTGTGTTCACTGATCATGGGAAAAATAATAAAAAAATCGTAAGTGGCATATATTGCCCACTATAGGGCGGGGAAGTCTGGCAAAAAACAGGCACTGACTCAGCGTGCGTCCCAGGCGGTCTGTTGCTTGCCAGCTGTCAGCCCGGAGTTGCCACAAAAAGATAATTACCTAATTATTTCAATGTCTTTGATTGATTTTTCGTAGTTTTTTTTGCTGTAATATTATTCAATAGTGTGTAGTGTGATATATTTATATAATAAAATGAGTGAATCATCGCTGTACTCAAAAATATGGTGTGCATATTGTTGATTCAATTATGTTCATCAAACAGTGAACAAATACTTTGTCGGTTATTACACTATATACTCAGGTTATATATAAGTATCTGCATGTTTTGTTCACCATAACGAACCACTAAGTTGCTATTATGAGTCAAAAAGTAACGAGGAGTGACCGCCGTGTACCAGCCAGCCACTCACTCCCTCCCTGAACACCTTACTCGCCCACATTCTCCTCCCACCATACTGTGTTTGCTTTTATTCACTATATACAGACATTATATATAAGTATCTACATTCGTGTTCACCATAACGAACCACTAAGTTGGCATGCTGAGTGGCAGTGCCAGTGGCAGCCCGCCACTGGCTGCTACTTCCTCCCTCCCTCAAGTCACCTGACTCGCCCACATTCTCCTCCCACAATACTGTTTTTGCTTTTATTCACTATATACAGACGCTATATATAAGTATCTACATTCGTGTTCACCATAACGAACCACTAAGCTGGTATGGAGAGTGCAGTCAATAAAAGGTGGCCACAAACAGTCAGAAGACAACGCCACCACCCTCCCTCCCACAGCATTACTCCTCCCTCCATGGAGCACAGCGCTAAATATCACCACAATCCTGCTATTATCAGAACCCTGGTCAGTTTTATCACAGGGGTCTTCTGTAATATCATCGCTACATAATAGCATGAACAAGTATATTATGGCATTTTCAGGGGATGCTGTGGTCACAAGCTGAACAGCAGTGCTGTGAGCTTATGCTGTGTGTGTCAGGCTTGGTAGCTCACTCAATACTAAGGCCCATAACACCCGGGAATTTGGCCCACGATTTAAAAAAAAAAAATTGGGTCTGTTTACAAGAGCCCTGATGAAGGTGTGGTGAACCCCGTGTATCCACGGGCCGTTTAAATCTTGCGTAGTACTCCAAAGCATCATATGATGCGATGCGCAATTTCAAGGTTAAGGGGTACTATTTTTAAAAAGAAATTTTTTATTTACCATATGAATTACCCCAAATTTTCATTATAATTTTTTATACTCCCAGAATCCTTTCATCAGCTTTATTGATAATGTTGGTCAATATCTTGCAGCCGTGTATCATCAGATTACAAGATGTAATTGAAACGCCAGCAATGATGTATATTATCATGGAGCTGGCAGAAGGTGGAGAACTGTTTGACCGACTAACTACCACTGGCCGTCTACCCGAGGCAACTGCTAAATTCTACTTTTTTCAACTTGCTCTTGCTGTTCAGTATCTACACGCCAAAAACATTACACACAGAGATATTAAGGTACAGTACTATGATTTTAATCTCAAGTAAGTTATTAGTAACCTTAATTACCAATCCCAAATTTTGTGAGGCATGGAGGCACTAACCAATTCATATTATAATTTTTGTATTTGTTGTAAAATTAAACTAAAGCTTTAAATATTTGTATTGTAATGATTTATTTTGCATTCCATTTATTGTCTAAATCAAAACTCCTTTATGGCTGCCCATGGAAACTCTTAATTGGCAGGGTGGAGTACCTGCCAATTAGGAGTATTTTGCTATATAGTATCATATAGCAAATTTGTTCTAATTAATTTAATAAAAAAAATGCCATTTTACTAATTTTGTTTGTAGCAGTATTAGAAATTTTGATGTCATTTGATTACATTATAAAGAATTATGCATCACTAGTACAGTTAGTGTATAGTATTGTGATTTCAATGTTTTCTGCGAAGCCTCCTCAGTAGCCTCTCGATGTTAAGTGATCATTGAACCATGCTACAAGGAAAGATCAGGCCTCTGAGATGTGCCCTACCTACATGCAAGCCAGGACCTGAATCTGGCACAGTCTGCGAGGCAAAGGAAGCTTCAGGATCAGAGATTTAACCAAAACTGAGAGCCCCCCTCCAAAAAGCCTTAGTGCCATAAGGTGCACCACTGATGAAAATAAACTGTTAGAGACCTGAAAGAACAATATGCAAACAATCTTTTGCTTGGGCCAAACAATTATTTCATTCTGGAAGTGGGAAAAGAGCCAGAAACTTTGAGAAAGAGATAGCAGACAAATGTTAAACAGTATCAGGTCTATTCTATAAATTTATTCAAAGCAAATTGCAGGTAAAGGATAAAATTCAGAGGCTGAAAATGGGAAATAGATTCATAGAGAATGAAAAGGAAATGTGTGAAATAGTAAGTGTTTCACACATTTAATTCACACATTCAGTTTCAAAGTGTGATTGTGCAAAATAAAATTTTCCGAGAACCAGACACTATAAGAATTCCAGGTAACAACATAATGCATGCACATTGAGGTGTCTCAAGACAAAGTGGAAAAAATTGTTCAAGAAGCTAATAGGAACAAAACAGTTGGACCAGATGGAGTTTCACCTTGACATCTGAGAGAATGTTTACCTCAGCTCAGCATTTCACTTCAATTGATTTTTCAGTCATCTCTATAAACAGGAGTCTTGCCAGATAATAGGAAAAAGGCTAACAGCCATAAATGATCTGCCAGAAGAAATACAGAACTATATGAACATGGGGGTGATGCTGCCTTCCTGTTGAAGGTTCCAGGGATCAATGTCCCTACAGCCCAGTCTCTGACTAGGCCTCCTGGTTACTGGTCTGATCCACCAGGCTGTTTGATGAGACTGCTCACAGCTGCATCAAACTGCTCACTGCTTACAGTAAGAGTCAGCCTGGTTGATCAGATATCCTTTGAAGGTACTTGTCGTGTTCTCTTTTGTACACTGCAAGAGGTCGTGCAGTTATGCTCCTTATGTGTAGGGGAAGAGTGTTGAAAAGTCTTTGGCTTTTAATGTTAATCGAGTTCTCTCTGTGTTCCTACTGGCTCAGCGATCCACCCCTGATTGCCCCCCAGTAATTTCATTGCCTGAACTGAGGAGGAGGGGGGGTTTCTTCGGTCTGTCCTCGGTGGCACTGAATGCTTCTTGTTGCTTGGCTACAAGACGCTTCTCTTGGCTTCTCTTGATTTGGTTCTCCACACGGTTCATGTAATTACCTAAGTTACAGGATGTGTAGGGGTGTGTCCAACTTCCTCATGGACAGGGTGTCTCACTTTCAGCCGGTCTCTATAGAGGGGACTGTCAACAAAGTGTCCTTCCATTGGCATTGCGGGATGTTAGGTCTCACTGAGGTGGATCTCTTCACATCGGCATGGAACCAGCACGTTCACTCCTACATGGCTCCATTTCCCGGTTGAAAGGCTGTCATGGTGGATGCCTTTTGACTGGACTCGTAAAATGGAGTTGCATTTACCTCTTTCCCAGTTCAGTTGTTGCTGAGTGCTCCGTGACTGATGGCACATAGTAGTATGGAACAGTATCAGTGTAGTAGCTTCAGGGAGCCACCGGGGCTCACCCAGAAATTGGTGTTTCATGACATTCAATGCTGGTTTTATCGCCATGAAATAGACTGGAAAACGAAGGATCCTCACTAGGATAACAAAACCTGATGAGCAAGATTAGTGAGCATGTATGTCTCTCACTTCCTATGGCAACATTAAAAACTTGCCAGACAAAAGATGAAGGAATGTGCACTACTCTAGATCTGGTGTTTACCCAAAAGGAGGCAGTTGTATTTAAAATATATGGTTTCACTTGAAGCCAGTGATCATGTATTATTGTGTTCAGTCATATTGTAGAACAACTGAGTGATAGTTGAACTAGGAAACTGTTTGAAGAGATAATATCAACAAGGTGTTGACCAGACCACACACACTAGAAAGTGAAGGGACGACGACGTTTCAGTCCGTCCTGGACCATTCTCGTATCTGGACCATATTGACTTGAGAATGGTCCAGGACGGTTAATAAAACGTCGTCGTCCTTTCACTTTCTAGTGTGTGATCTGGTCAACATACTTCAGCCACGTTATTGTGACTCATCGCCTGCATATCAACAAGGTAATTACAGGATATTCGGTGGGATAACAGATTGGAAGGGAACCCTGCAAATGCAATGATGGAATCAGTAGTGTGGAAATGTGTACGAGCAAGGGAATATGGTACTTGTCATCTTCAACCCACCCATACTAATAACCTCCCCTCTTATACATCACCACCTTTTATCCTCCCCATACAACAACTACCCCTTATATACCTTTACCTTCACCCACCACCACAAAATCACTTATGCACACAACCCAACTACATATTTATTTTCCCTTTTGTGTATGTATATATGTTTGTCTTTTACAATAGGTGAGCAGATGGAGAGGAAGAGGATTTGCATTTTTACAGTATTTAATAAAATTGTTTTTTAATTTATATTGAGCTCTTCATTACTTAGGAGTCTGGGGATATCGTCCTCAGTTATTTTCAATAGAAAAACGAAGGGTATGCCTTGAATTTTCTGAGTATCCAGTTTATACTCTGGTCCTGTCATTTTATTAAATTATATTTACAGTGTATCTAAATATTTTTTCAGCCAGAAAACATTTTGTTGGCTACAGATGAGGAAAACACTCGTATAAAACTGACAGACTTTGGCTTGTCCAAACTTGCTGCTGATGCATCACAGATGACAACTTTCTGTGGGACGCCAACATACATTGCCCCAGAACTGTTACAGTTTGGGGGCCTGTCCTACAACAATAAAGTGGATTTATGGAGTTTAGGAGTTGTGTTGTTTGTAAGGTGAGCAAATTAGGCTATTTTTTAATTACAAATCTTGAATTATATTTAAAGGTAATTTTCTTTTTATTGAGTTATTGTTAAATGAATCATAACATTTAATTTGTATTATCCCATATGTTGTATATAAAAATTTTAGATTTTACATCAGACCCATTGTGGATTAACTTCTGTTTTCCTGACCACCACTGTGACAACGACTTGTGGCAATGTGATGATGATTTGGGTGTAGTTATGCTCTAAAAGATGGTGATTGAGTTTACAGAAAGAATGTTTGTGTTTACTTGGCTTTCTGTTTTAAGATGCACCCCCAATGTTGTCATTTTTGGGCAAAAAATTCTGTGTTGAATGTAATAAAATGCTTCTTTCTGGCGAGTCTCTTCAGTGGCTGCTCGAGCTACCCACATGAATAGCTACAAGTCTAAAGAACCCCACCAGGGACTAGAACTAGAATATGGCACCCCCTGCAAGTAGAGGCAAGGGGGGGGGGGTCTGGGGGATAGACAATCAACCAAGGCCAGAAAACACAAAAATAAACAACTGCTATGTATACTTTTATTATCTAGAAGTAGCTGCTAGTAAGCAGCACTCGCTTGCCACCAGATGGCAGCCCTGGAGACTCGGGGGATACCAGTCAGAACAAGAACCACAGAAGGAAGGCAGTGTGGGAACAAGGAGTAACCAAATGGATCCACCAGAATAAAAACATTTCATTACATTCAACATGTTCTACTTATCACAAATATTTTCTCTGGCCTATAAAAGTTCTTGAAATTTTACATAACATCAATGTTTCTAAGGATAGGCATCATTAAATGGATGGTGATGCTCCTCAAGTGGTGCCAATTTTTGGTATAATGCCCAGGAAGGTTGCTAAGGCTTTCAGGATTTTTCCCCAATGTGGCAAATGATTGCCAGAGCCCGCCACACACGACAAAACTACATTGTTGCTACAACATTTGAACAAGTTATAACACCTTCTAACAAGTTGCAACAACCAATATAACACATTGTAACAACTTTCTTCATGTCATAAAAACTTTATAACAAGATGTAACAACTTTGTAACATGTTGTTACAAGGAGACAATAGGGTTCATTATGCTTTGTGTTTGCAGGGAGGTCTCTTATGCAGAATGACAACTACATAGATTATTTAAGAACTTTGAAAATTAAAAGGCACATTAAATATGTGCACCCCGTGTGTGCACAGGACTTATAAATCTTAAGTGGTACCCTAATACTTTACATGATGGGATGCACAGTTTGTGCATATTTAGGTATCCCATCACTTGATGGGATATGCAGCCAAAGGGTTTATTATTATCCAAATGGGAAGTTTACAGGGCCACCAAAGGGAGTCCTCCTAGAATGAAAAGTGGTTATTATAGTTGAGCATATTCAACATTATTATTATAAGTTAAAAACATTTGGTTTTGACCATCTCTCTGTGCAAAATTATTTTATTTGTTTTCCCAATGACAAGTTTCATTAGGAAAGGCAATGCCTCATATATTTTTTTTTACAGCTTGGCAGGCTATCCTCCCTTCTATAGTGACAATGAAGGACAGTTGCGCTACAAGATAAAGAATGCTGTGTATAATTTTTCGCATAGGCTCTGGAAAGAAATTTCGGATGAAGCAAAAGATCTAATCACTAGACTCTTGATTAGTGACCCATCACAGAGGCTGGACATTGAACAAACTTTGAAACATCCCTGGCTGCAGGTAAGGCAATGGTTATAGCTGGCCAAGCACTTGATTCTTTTATTAGTGGGTCATCTTGTGACTAAATGGGACTTAGAGGGGGCCCCCCCTACACTGCTACCTTGTTATATTTTAAAATATTCATTTCTATTTGCTATTAAATATTATATAGATGCTTCAAGAGATTTGGCCTATTCTTCATTGGGGGAATTGCAGCTTAGCCAATTTTTCTTACTTTATGTTCAGTATTGCTTATGCTGAAGCACCCCTCTGTGGTGCCTCCTTGCCATGGTGAGGGGCTCACGTACACCTCCCTGGGACCGGTGTGGGTTGCCTTTGCCTCCCTCTCCTGCCCTCTCTTTTGGTGGTGTACGTGCAGAAGGGCACCACATAGGGGCCTTGTGAGCCATCGAACTACCCGCTGGAGGGGTCGCCCGTGAGGGGCTGCCCTAAGTGGATGGTTGTGTATCCAGGCTGGGGGGAATGGGGTCTTAGCACCAGTGTGGGAGAATGTACGATGTAGTAGGACTCCTCTGTTGAAAAGGGGGAGCACCGCTGAGGACGATGCACCCTTCCTGCACTGGCCCGCGCTCAGCCTCCCTGGCTGCCCTGGTAGGTGGTATCCCTTGGTTCCAAGTCCCAAACCTTTAACTTGATTGATGCATGGATGACGACACGACTTTTTACCCAAGCTTATGGGGTGGGCGACCAGGCCCTTGAGTCGGACTGTCCTGGAAGACCGGGCTCTGTGGCCCCTGCTACAGGGCCCGGTTTAGGCCCAGACTGGATTACTCCTTCCTGCTCCCCTCCCTCCTCTGTGGTTGGGTCGAGCCCCAAGCCCTCTGTGGTGACCACCTCATCCCCTTGCATGGCTCCATCTCTCATTGTGACTACTGCGCCTTATGATCCATCTCTCTCTAGAGGTTCTCACCGCCATCCCCGCCACGGCCACTCTCGTATGCTCCCTTCCCATACTAATTCGTACCATGCCTTGTTTGATCCTGCTACGTGGACTAAGTACTTTGACCTCCATCCTTTGGATTCAACTCCTGACGATTTTTCCCTTCATAGGCATCTTGTTGATTCAGTAGATGCCTCTGTTACTTTCAACCCCACCCGTCACAGTACCCATGTCATTGCTGCTGCTCCTCAGAATGCAGCCACTTGCTTTGCCACCTTATTCTGCATTGGTGAGACCCCTGTTTGGGTCTCCAAGAATGCTTGTTTAGATGCCAGTGTTTGCACTGTTCTCCTACCGCACCATGTTGCGACCGGTGTTCAGAATCTAAAGGACTACCATGAGGATATCAAGCATATCCTTGAGACCCAAGGCCATTCTGTCCTTCAGGTGGATACGTTTACTCGTCCCCCTTGTGGTTGTCGCCGTCTGCCCCTTTGGGTTGTGAAGATTACCTTTGATGGTAGGACCCTTCCGCCCTCTGTCATTCTTGCTGGTGCCAGATGCTCCCTTCAGGAGTATATTCCATCTCCTCGGCTCTGTAACAAGTGCTGGAAGTTTGGGCATGGTGCCCTCAAATGCTCTAGTCCTGTCTCTCTCTGTCCTATGTGTGGGGATGAGGGTCACTCTAAGTTGGAGTGCACTTCTCCCCAGGCCTGCTGCCTCAATTGCGGTGAGGCCCACCCTACCTTCTCCCGCGCTTGTATACGTTACAAACTTGAGGCAACTGTTCTCAACTTGAAGCATCGGGAACGTTTGTCTTTTCCTGAGGCGAGGCGCCAAGTTCATTGTCTCCCCCTATTCGCTGGTGTCTCTTATGCTCGCGTGTTGTGCTCTTCCTCTCTTCGTCCTTCTCACCTTCCTCAGTCTCACAACCGTTTCCAGGCCTTAGACCCGGACATGCCCACCACCTCCTCCCCTGTTCCTTTACGTTCTGTCCCGAAGGGTTCCCCTCCTGGTTCTCTGTCTGGGGTTCCCTGTCTTTCTACCTAGTCTGTCATGTCTCCTGTGTCTTCTTTCTCCTCTCCTTCTGATCCTCCGTCTCTTGGCTCTCCACGCCGCCTGTCTATGCAGGCCGATGTCCATCGCTCGCCCGGAGATCATGTTCGCTCTCGTTCTTCTTCTCCTATTGAGACGCTCGAGTCTGTTGCCCAGTACATTGCTGCTGGGACACCTGTCTCTTTGAGTCAGAAGCAAAAGCCTGGCTTGTCTCCTTCCTCCTCCCCGGCAGGTAAGAAGGCTTCGCTTTCTTCTTCTCCCCCTATCTCTGGCTCTATCGTTCCATCCACTCCCGTTTCGGTGGTAGAGCCCCCTGTTCCCACTGTGGACGTTTCTTTAGCCCCTGCTTCCGTCTCGGTTGCTGCCCTTGCTGAGGTGCTCTCCCATCTTTCTGCCCCTCCTCCTCCTCTTCCTCCTGCTGTCTTTGACTGGCCCTCTTGGTTGTCTCCTCCTTCTCCAGACCCTGCTCGTTCGCCTTTGGTCTACCCTCCCGCTCCCTTCCCTCCATCTTTACTCAGTTTACCAATGCCCCCTAACCCTGACTTCGCTGATCCTGATCTTGACCCTGAGTTTCTTTAATGTGCTATGTTCCTTTTTCACCTTTGTTTCTTCATTGTTCTCTGTTGCTGTCCTTCCTCTTTTTGTCGTCTATTCTTCAGTGGAACATTCGTGGTTATTACGCCAATTTCCTTGAACTCCTGATTTCACAGTTTTCGGCCCTTTGTGTCTGTCTCCAGGAGCCGATGCTTGGTGCTCATCCTGGTCGCTTCCGTGGCTATTCCTTTCTCTCGTGGCTGTTGCTGGGGCCCATAACTCTTCCGCACTCTTGATTTGCTCTGATTTTCCCTTCATCCCCCTACTTTTTCCGTCGCCTCTCCAATGTTCTGTTGCCCGTCTCTTTGTGCATAAATGGTACACGGTTTGTTCCATTTATCTTCCCCAAATGTCCCGCTTTCTCTTCCCGATCTTAACCCTTAAACTGCGCATGGCGTATATATATGCCATGAGTAACATGTCCCACAGTGCACATGGGGTATATATACGCCATAGGGTGCCAGGCATGATTCAAATGGCCCGCGGCTATACGGAGTTCACATTAGCTTCCTCAGGGCTTTTGTAAACAGACACCATTTTTTAACAAAATCGTGGGCAATATTCTCCGGTGTGAGAGCCACAATACTGTTGGAGCAAACAAGGCTGGCGCACGCAGCATGAGCGAATAACATTGCTGTTCAGCTTGTGACCACAGCATCGCCGAAAAATGTCAAAATAAATATATAACTGCTATTATTTAGCGATGACAATATTACAGATGACCCCTGACTGTGGTAAAAATGACCAGGATTGTTGTCATAATTAACGCTGTGGGAGGAGTGATGCTGAGGGACGGAGGGAGATAGCATCGTTTACGGACTGTGTGGCCACCTGTTATAGTCTGCATTCACCATACCAGCTCAGTGGTTCTCTATGGTGAACACAAATGTAGATAGTTATATATAATGTGTGTATTAGTGTAATAACAGCAAAAGGATTATGTTGGGAGGAGCCATTTGGGTGACAGAGGTGACGTCGTCTGCATGACTTGTCTGGCTGTGTAGAGGGTGGCCACTATGCACCCTACAAGCTTAGGTGTACAGTTACGGTGCATACAACATGTAGATACTTATATATAATATGTGTACAGTATATAGTGTAATAGCACTGCAAACAGTATTGTTGGGGGAGAAATTTAGTACGCTTGACCTTGAATGAGTGCGGTAGGCAGCCGCCAGCTGACTGTGTGTAGCGACGTCTCTTAGTGCCTGAGCTAACTATATCAGCTTAATTGCACAGTTGTGGTGAACAAAACATATAGATACGTATATATAACGTCTGTATATAGTGAAATAACACCACAAACGGTATTGTTGTGAGAGAAATTTTAGTGCGTGTGATCTTGAATGAGTGTGGGAGGCAGCCGCCAGCTGACTGTGTGTAGCCACGTCTCTTAGTGCTTGAACTAACTATATCAGCTTAGTTGTACAGTTGTGGTGAACAAAACATATACGTACTTATATATAACGTCTGTATATAGTGAATAAAATATAAAACAGAATGGTGGGAGGAGAAAGTGGGCGAGTGAGGCATTATTGAGGGACTGGCAAGAAGTGGCTGGCTGGTGTGTGGCGGTCACTCCTCGTTGCTTTTCGACTCACAGTACCAACTTAGTGGTTCGTTATGGTGAACAAAACTTGCAGATACTTATATATTACCTGTGTATAGAGTGTAATAACAGCAAAACTATTTGTTTATTGTTTTATGAACATAATAATTGAATCACTAATATGCACACCATCTTTTTGAGTATAGCGATGATTCACCCCTTTTATTATATAAATATATCACAATACACACTATTGAATAATATTACTGCAAAAAAACTAAGAAAAAATCAGACATTGAAATAATTAGGTAATATCATCTTTGTGGCAACTCCCGCCTGTCAGCTCGGGTGACGCTGACCGCCCCTGACAACCGCTCCGTCAACGCCCACATTTTGCCAGACTTCCCTGGTCTATTGCGCCCAAAATATGTCCACCTACGATTTTTTTTCCCGTGCTCAGGGAACACATATTAACATTTTTAGAAGACGAAATAATTTTTTAGTTTTTTTTCTTGCGCACAGGGGTGTAAATCTCCTCAGGACCCCTTAGCAGCTTAAGGGTTAAACACCACCTGGACTCCTTGCCGGAGCCTGTGCTCCTGCTGGGTGATTTCAGTTGTGGACATACTCAATTGTGGAGGGAGCCGGTCGGCTGAGCGGACAGCACGCTGGACTTGTGATCCTGTGATCCCAGGTTCGATCCCGGGCGCCGGCGAGAAACAATGAGCAGAGTTTCTTTCAGCCTATGTCCCTGTTACCTAGCAGTAAAATATGTACCTGGGTGTTAGTCAGCTGTCACGGGCTGCTTCCTGGGGGTGGAGGCCTGGTCAAGGACCGGGCCGCGGGGACGCTAAAGCCCCGAAATCATCTCAAGATAACCTCAAGAAGATAACCCTTTGGGGTGATGATCAGACAAACACCCAGGGTCGCCCTCTTGAACCGTTCATCCTCTCTTCCCTGTCTCTTCTGAATTCTGGTGAGCCCACTCATTTGGACTCTCGGACTCGCACCCTTTCGTGTCTCGATCGTTCTCTTTGCTAGTCGTCTCTTTACTTAGATTTCTCGTGGCGGGTTCTTGATGACCTCCGTGACAGTGACCATTTTCCCATCCATGTTACCTTGTTCTCTTTTCATCCTCCCCTCTCTTTCCCTAGGTGGTGGTTTGCCAAGGCTGACTGGCGCCTCTACCCTCCGTGCTACTATCTCCGACCTCTCCCTCGCGCCCTCCTCCTTTTTCATGACACCGTCTTCAACGCTGCCCTCCGCTCTATTCCTTGCTCATCCTCTCGGGGAATGCGGAAGTGTGTTCCCTGGTGGAATGTGGACTGTGCTCAGGCTGTCTGCTGTAAGCGTGCAGCCTGGAAGAGACACCGTCGCCGGCAGACGGCTGAGTCTTTCTCTTGTTTCGGAAGGCGAGTGCGGTGACCCGTAGGACCATCCGTACCCCTAAACATTCATGTTGGATGTCTTATGTCTCTACCATTACATCCAAAACTCCTCCACCGCTGATCTGGAAGCGTATCCGCAAGATAGCGGGTAAGTTTGTTCCCGATGACTTGCCGGTCCTTCACCTTCGTGGTACTCTTGTGGCGGACCCGTTGCAGGTAGCGACCAAATTGGGTTCCCACTTTTCTTCTGTTAGCTCTGGTTCTCATCTTCCTCAATCTTTCCTTCTAGGCCTCTTAAGCCTCTTCTTGAATCTCGTCCTTTGGATTTCTGTACCCATCTGCGCCTTCCCTATAATGATCCCTTCTCTCTCTGAGCTTCAGTCTGCCCTGGCCCTCTGCAGTTCTACAGCGGCGGGCTCCGATGGCATTCATTATGAGATGCTTCACCATCTCCCTCCGTGCACGTCTCAGTATTTACAGTCTGTATAATCAGGTCTGGGAGTCGTCGTCAGTCCCTGAGGACTGGCTCGATGCCGTTGTCCTTCCCGTCCAGAAACCAGGGTCTCTCGGGACATCCCCTAAGGACTTCCGCCCTATTGCCCTCACAAGTTGTGTCTGCAAGCTCTTTGAATGTATAGTTAATGTTCGTCTGATGTGGTTCTTAGAACGCTATCACCACCTCTCCCCTTCTCAGTTTGGTTTTCGCAAGTGCCGCAGCACAACAGATGTCCTGGTGAACTTGGAGGTCTATATTCGTACTGCTTTTGCTGCGAAGACCTCCGTTGTTGCCGTCTTTTTTGACCTGGAAAATGCTTACGACACCACCTGGCGGTATCATATTCTGTTCCAACTTCATTCTTTTGGCCTTCGTGGGAATCTCCCTCTCTTCCTCCAAAGTTTCCTCTCTCGTTTTTCCTTTCGGGTGAGGCTTGATGCCACTCTCTCTGCCCCTTTTTGGCAATATGAGGGTGTTCTCCAAAGCAGTGTTCTGAGCACTACTCTTTTTCTAGTTGCTCTCAATGGTCTTCTTTCCTCCCTACCTTCTGGCGTCTTCTCCGCTCTCTATTTTGACAATCTTATCCTATGTCAGGGTGATGATTCTCCTCTCCTTCAATGGCGGCTTCAACTTGCAATTGATGCCGTGTCGTCTTGGGCCACCTATCATGGTTTCAAGTTCTCTACGTCTAAGACTTGTGCTATGACTTTTACTCGAAAGCATGTCATTCTTCGTCCTTCTTTATCACTTTATGGTCATTCCCTTGTGTACAGGGATTCCACTAAGCTTTTGGGGTTAATCTTTGGCACTCGTTTGTCTTGGTCGCCCCATATCACTTACCTCCGAGTTGAATGCTCTAAGGCCCTTTCCCTCAAGGTTTTGTCCCATACTTCTTGGGGGGCGGATAGACGCACACTCCTCGTTTGCTTCTCCTGCTTTTCACCGTCTTGATGCTCCTCAGCTTGTATGTTGACACTGGCTTCATGTCTCTCCAGGACCACCGTGATCGCTACTGTCTTCTCTGTCTGGCACGGTCCTTGCAACATCCTTATTCTCACCTCTGTCGTGCTTTGACTCTTACCCCTCCTGTAGCTCCTGTTCCTCTTCACCGCCTCCCTCTTTCTGTCCGGCTGTCTCGCTTACAGGACTCTCTTTCCGTTCATATTTCTAATGTCTTTTTGCATTGTTTCTTCTTTGCCCCCATGGAGAGTCCCCCTTCCAAAATTTTGTACTTCCCTGACCCGGATCACTAAACCTTTTACCCCTCCTATAGTTCTGAAACGTCTTTTCCTTGAGCACTTTTCTTCACGCTCCCGCTCTGTTGTTTTTCCTGACCGCATTTGTATGTGTTGCCTTCCTTCAGAGACTAGCATCTTCACAGCGCATTTTGCTATTCTCTATGCTCTCCGTCTCTTGCTTTCTTGTTGTCACTCCTCCTTTGTGATTGTAGGTGACTCTCGGGTCCTTTAATCCTGTCCATCCGGTGGTCGTCGAGATTCAACATTGGCTGTTTCTTATCTCTAGTAAATTTAAATCCGTAGAGTTTTGCTGGGTTCCCAGCTATATTGGTGATGCAGGCGATGAGTCACAATAACGTGGCTGAAGTATGTTGACCAGACCACACACTAGAAGTTGAAGGAACGACGACGTTTCGGTCCGTCCTGGACCATTCTCAAGTCAATTGTGAATTACGTCCTTGACCATTACGCACAATCGACTTCAGAATGATCCATGACGGACCGAAACGTCGTCGTTCCTTCAACTTCTAGTGTGTGGTCTGGTCAACATATTGGTGATCCTTTAAATGAGCATGCGGATGCTGCCGCTCGGGAAGCTATCCACTCTTGCCCATCTCCCGTAAAGGTATTCCTTATTGCGACTTTTACCCGGTTATTCATTCCTCCACCCTTGCCCGTTGGCAGGGTTGTTGGTCTTCTGTTGTTGGTAACAAACTGCGTACTCTTAAGCGTTGTGTCTCCCCGTGGCCTTCCTCCTGCCACCGTAACCGGCGGTGGGAAACAGATGTCTAGCTCTAGCAAGGTTGCGTCTTGGCCATACTCGCTTAACTCACAGTCACTTAGTGGAGCGCCGCCCAGCTCCTTATTGTCCAAATTGCATTGTCCCTCTTACATTTGTACATATCCTTGTTGAATGTCCTGACTTCTAGGATGAGCGTGTGTCTTGCTTTATGACCGTCTCTCGCGGTGACTTGTCCCTCGATAGACTTCTTTGTGAATCGGATACTTTTGATATCGTTCGCCTTATGCGTTTCTGTTCTCGTAATGGCATCCTTGGTGATATTTAGTGCCCTCTGATTATTACGCACATTTGATGGTGCTACATAGCCTTCCTGGTTTGGTGCCTTCTTTTGATAATTAATTACTTATACTGAAGCAATATGTATTTTAAATTCAGGGATAATACCATTATTTAGTTCATTATAGTTTAAAAAACTGATGTCACTGCTTTGTTTGTGTTTAAAGGATTGTGTGGAGAATATCCAACAAGGGTTTTAATAAAATTTTAAATCATAGAACATAGGGTATTCAGTATTAAAAACAAGTACTACATGCAGTATACTAGTGTAAATATGAACAGTGTTTCATCGCTTTAGTGGTATTGACTTGTAATGAAGTTGTGTGTTTCAGGATGATGAAATGCAAAGAAGAGCTCTAAGATTTGTTCAGGAAGACCAAAAATCTCCTAAGAAAAGAATATTAGAAGAAACTGAATGTGATAAAATGGCGCTGCCTGATGCCAAAACCCCACGAATTCAAATGGGGATTGGAGACAGGTAGCCTGAGCTGCTGATATTGAAAAAGTCTGGTTTAAATTGAACAAAAATGTTGTTCCTAACTTATTTAAGATCATTGAAGAACCAAAGAATTTTTGCATTCCTTGAAGATTACTCTCAATTTAAAAATTGATCTTTTTAATAACTAAATATGGATAAAAAGTATGTTTTTTACAAAAGACACATACTTTACTAAAATGTCATTTAAATGTATTTTACAATTTACATTATTTAAATAGCATAGCAAGCATTCATACTGATAAAGAAAATGTTAACTCTGATTATTCTCTATTAAAATACAGTAGAACTGTATTATTTTACTTAATAGGAAATATAATTTGGGTGTACACATTATAATGACAGATGTGCGTGGAGCAATTGTCTTGGCACTGCAATGTGTTGTGCATGAAGTAGAAACTGCTTGGTCAGTATTGCATGTACAGAAAATTCTTGAAAGCACATAAATGTCCTGTATGCTTGTAAAATGTGTGAGAGTAGAGAATAGATGGTTGAATCACCATCTGTATAGGTGCTACTAGAATAATTTTTATTTTGTTTAAAAGTGAAGACCAAAATTTACAGTAGATTCCTAGGTCTGTTAAAAAAACAGGTTTGTTACTTAAGTAACCAAAATACTGCACTTTGTAAATGTGTTCAGTACATGTACTTCAGATTATTTGAACTTAATCTTTTTTTGTGTAGTAAAAGTTTAATAAACTTTTTATTTTTGTTTCATTTAAAAGAAATTTATTGCTCATGACCAGTGCCTTGATGTGGCGGAAACTTGAATGCTTTCATAACTTGAAGAGCAATTGAGGATGATTTGTGCTCTTTTTAAATCTAACCTAAAGTGAAGAGACAATAACCCAGGCCAATGAGAGTCCCACCTGTGTGTTTACCATGCAGGAAGTCCCATATATATATTAACATTTTCCTTTCATCTGGGAGTGGAATCTACCTAGAAAGCTGCAGCTATTTAGAGATGGGAAGAGACAGGTTGGTGTAATGCAGCTGGTGAGGGTAGAAATAGCCTAAGCTACTCTGTCCCTTCAAGAGGTATTTTATTGTCTCAATAAATGTACTGGAACTTGAATGCAGGGTTTAGTGCCATTGAGAACTTGGCATTTGTATTGGTTCCTGGTGTGTTATGCACCACCTGCTGGCCTGAAAATATTGTCCCTACTATAATTGAGGATTATGCTCTGTAACTGCTCTAATTTACCTTGCTTGGCTCTGGTGAATGTAAATGCAAACACCTTGTTTAGTATTGTATGCCTTTAACTTTGGGATCTTAATGTCTGCCTTATGGGAGCCCCTGGGGCCCATAAATCATAAAGTATAAATAAAAAAATTATGCTACTGTGTATTCAAAGGTGGCTTTAAGTGTATTTAAAGGTTACCCTAGTCATTAAAGCACCCTCGAGCTTGAACTTTCCTGACGGGGGAAGGCCACTCCACCCCTCAGTTCATAGAATGATGAAAACCAACAATTGGAGGGAGGGAGGGTGTCAGGGAACCTCCAGGGTTTGCCAAGAATATGGAGTTTTCATTATATTCAATGCTGGTTTTCTGTGAGGGGCCCCATCGGCTCTTTGAAGCCGATTACCCACAAATAAGTAAAAACGGATTTACCCGGCAAGAGGCCTGGTCAACGACCGGGCCACGGGGACGCTAAGCCCCGGAAGCACCTCAAGGTAAGGTAACCCGGGAGATGGCTGCATCACAGGTCTCACGACGCAGAAGAGACAAGCAGTGACAGAGTCCCGAAGCAAAACAAGGTCGGAGGGTCCCTGGAATCTGTTCGATTTCCAAAACCACTGCGCCCAAATGTCGACCCAAAGCATATTTAAAAACACAGCAGCAAGAGCAACATATTTCCTCATATCATGGTCACGAGGGTAGACCACTGGCTGGCTAGACTTGATAACCCTGTGGACAACTTGAGAGATGCGAGCCCTGGAACAGGAAACCACTCAAACCGGATCCACACAGAGTGTATCCACAGTCACTGAACCAGTGGCGAGTTGGTAGCGTCATAAAGCTGCAACCGGACACATAACATGATTCACCTCTGGCCTAACCAACCAAACAACCACCCAAGGACTGCTCCAGCAAGCAGCAGTCTCATTCTTCGCCAGACAAGGAGGAGACAGCTGCAAACGAACAAAACGACCCCCCAGGACCAAAAGAGCAGAAACCCCTGCGGCAGAGAAGAGCATAAAGCTCCCCCACTCGACCTCCAGAGGCTAAGGCCAACAAGAGCAAGGCTTTCAGAAAATAATCCCGGACCAATGGGGCCGCAACAAACTGAGAGACCAAGAAAGCTCAGGTGGCACATGAGCAGGTCGGAGGTGAAAAAACGCACAAGAGAGCTTGTGGAACGGAACGGAAGTAACATCAACCTCAAATGCAAGCTGGAGCGGCTCCGCCAATGCCACATGATGATAAGCAACAGTATTCGGCAAAAGAAGCCTGTCAAGAAAAAGCCAAGAAAGAACAGACAGACAAAACCGTACGAAGGGAAAGGAAATGGTGGAATGACCTCCAGGAGACTTCATACTGTTGCTGAGATGAAGACCGCAGGCGGGACACCATCAAAGAAGCCACCTGATCACCATACAAATGGTGATACACCCACGTCAGAAAAACCAGACACGAAGCATGTAAGAGTATGCTATGCCAGCGAGGTATCTCACCGGCCCGACTTGCTGAAAGAGGCGGAGCTGCATAGTGTCCGAACTCTCGGAGTTCGGACACCATGCAGGAAGCAACTGGGCCAGCCACAATGGGGCCAGGAGAACAACTCTTCCCTGATAGGATTCGAGCAGAGCCAGAACCTGAAGCAACAGCTGGACCAAGAAATGAAGGTACAGAATTACCCACCTCCACTAGTGCCTGCTGGAAAGCATCTACTACGAATGCCTCACAGTCGTGGAACGATGCCACATATATTGGGAGGTGCCAAGACCAAGCCAACGCAAAGAGGTCCATCTTCAGGCACCTGAACATCTGACAAAGCCAAAAGAAGGAGGCGCCGTTGACCGTCCACTCCGTGGAAAGAGAAATGAAGCAACACAGGCCATCCGCCAGGACGTTGGACACCCCCTGAATGAGAACGGCATGGAGAGCTAAACCCTGCAAGCTCAGCATAAGAGCCACCTGCAGAGAAACCCGGGTTGAGACAACGAACCACCGGGAAGCAGTCCGAATGGAGCTGGATCACAGAGCCCCGAGGCAACGGAATCCTCCGCAGCACTTGCCACACAGTTGCAAACTCCTGCTTTGTGTGATGTGAGCCCAAAGGAAGGATGGAGCCCAATGCCCCTGGCCAGAGTGGTGAGCGCTGGTCACAAAACCCCAGCCGAGAGATGAGACATCCGTGAACACATCGAGCAAGGGAAAGACGCCATGGCACCAAACTCCAAGGTGAAGCCAGAGATGCAGAAACCGACGCAAAGACCCCAGAGGCCGAACCCAGGGATCGCAAAAGGGGCTGCCCTGAAGATACCAGAACAGCCTCCTAAGCCAAACCCTGCCCAGCGGGAAAACCAGCAAGGCAAAGTTCAGGCTCCCACACAACTGCTCAAGCAACCATCGAGCAACGGAACCAGATGGGACTTCCGCCAATTCACCAGGAACCTGAACCCGGCAAACTGGGAAAGAACCAGTTTCCTGACGAGCAGACACACAAACCAGCTGGGACCCCACACCAACCAGTCGAGGTAGGCCAGAACCCGAACACCTAGCAGAAGACAGGCCACCGAGACCCTGGTTAAATGCATGAATATGCGAGGTGCCAGACTGAGACTGAATGGAAGGTAATGAAGGCGGTAAGCCTGATCATGAAACCTAACCAATCCCTGAACCCCGGATGAATAGGAACATGCCAATAAGTGTCTTTGAGATCTGGGACCATGTGGTCATCCGAAAGGAGGGGGGCAAGGAATCAAACGGTTCAGACTGGACAAGTCCAGAATTAACCAAAGATCCACACAGTCCTGTTTCGGAACCGGAAACAAGCGAGAAACTCACTTGAGGGACGAAGTCGTTTCAACCACGCCCAAGCAAACCCACTCCAAGATGACCTGACAGACGGGGGAAAAGCCTGCCTTGCTAGCCCCCAACCCCTACCAACAAAGGCCAGAAGAGACAATGCGAAAGACCCATAAATCGTGGGACTAAGCATGGGCAAAAAGAGCCAGCCTTCCCCCTCCCCCCATCAACAAGGCACCCCACAAAAGGGCCGACGCGACCTCCGAGAAGCCGACTTCTCGGAGGTCGCGTCGGAAGACGAAAAAAGGCCCCGAAAACAGCTTCAGCAGGGCAGCCGAAACCAGAACCCTGGCCAAAGGCCGCTACTCAATGCCTCCACATCCTTCGAAAGTCAGTCTGAAGACAGTTCTAGAAGACAGAAGAAGCGCAAAACCAAAGCCAAATGACTGCGAGGTCGATAGTCATCCACCACCAAGGCAGCCAAAAAGAGAGGGAACCTGAGCATGCAACTGCACCAGACCCACATCACGGGGAAAAGCACAGGGGCAAAGAGGCACTCATTGAGGAACTTGAATGAGCACCCCAAGAACACCTGCAGCACCGAAGAAACCTCCCGCTTTAAGCATGTGGGTCTGACAAATACTGCACCCAATATGGGGAAGAAGAACCGAACTCAAAGGAAGATTGAGTTATAGCGTAAAACTGGGTCTCGCAGGAGGTAAGCACCAAGGGCCTCTCAAACCTCCGGAGGTAAATTCAAAGTCACCCGGGGAAGGAGCTGCACCCAACTCAAATTCATACAGGGACAGAGGAGATGAAAACCCCCAGCCCTGCAACAATTAACTCCTGCCCAGAAGGCACAAAGGCCCAGGAAGGATCAAATGCAGACAAGTATAGTATACTTGTATACACTCGGTACCCCTACTTAAATCTCTGAATATGTTAGACATTAAGTCACTGCACATTCTCTCATGTGTATTATACATATATAAAACGCTAAACTATAATGCCAATCCTGATCTCAAAAGCTTCATAGAAGGTTGTATCAGAACCCATGAGCATCACACCAGAAATAAATACAGTTTTGATATTCCTAGAGTACGACTTAATCAAACTAGAAATGCTCTACAAATCAAGGGGCCCAGAATGTGGAATGACCTTCCCAACCATGTTAAAGACTGTACCTCTCTCAACCAGTTTAAGTTAAAAGCGAAGCTATACCTAATAAATTCCCTGTAACCTACCTTACCCTTCTATTGTCAACCAATGTCTGTTTTTTTCTTTAAAGAGCGCTGTTTGTCGACATAATTGTATTTGTGCTGCTTTTTCATCTATGTTTTCATTTCTTGTTTTCATTCTACTCATTATGCTCAATTAGTATTAAGCTTGTCATTTAAGTTTATCATGCCCGAAACGCTTTGCGTAATAGTGGCTTTAGGCATTGTATGTACTAGCTATACCTATAAGTTAAACAATCCTTGTAAATATTTATTGTATGTATGTACCTTACCTAAATAAAATTGTATTGTATTGTATTGTATTGTATAAATGGATCCCAAGCACTCCAAGTGCACTCCCCTTGAGCCCCGGGAACCCCCCAACATAGGCCGCAGGGCAGAGCCCTCATCCATGCCCACCACCACCCTTGGAAGAAAAGGTAGAGTCCTGGGGAAAAGCTTCAAAGAAAGAAGCCTGCTGGGCCGACTCCGAAGCCTCAGCGCGGAAATCAGGCTCAACCTCCGTCCTTGAATCAGAAGGGGGCAATCCCCGTAACTACCCAAGCCTCATCCCAAGCTAAACCCTGCCCTGGCCCCGTAACCCTCAGATGTTTTGGAGCCGGAAGCAGGGCGAACAACACCCACCTGGGAAGGAAGCAAGGGCACGGACTGAACCACAGTTGAACTAACCAACGCCCCTAATTCGTGGTTCCTAAAATCTAAGCAGGCCAGCTCTGGGGCTTCCAGTCAGGCAACCAACCTGGCTTGTTGTAACAAAGAATACCTAGCATGCAACGAAGTTGCTGCCTGACACCAAACATCCTCAGACAAGGAATGGGTAAACTGAATAACAAGCGGAGAAAAAATCCTGCAAGACTGAGGGTCGTAGGTGTCACCGATCCAACAGGCAGCATGACCGGAGGCAGGGCAGGTGATCGTCACCACGAGGCAGAGGCAACTAACAACCTTCAGCATCACACAAGAGAAGACGGCTCAGGAGACACAGCCATGGCACCCCTGAGCCCAACGGGGTTTTCCAAGGCCCATAGGGTACGTTAGCCCTATGGGAAGCCCAGGCACTGGGGCCAGCTAAGCCGGTAAACCCTGTCTGTTGCAGACACACTGACAACCAGAAGTCGCTGTGTAACCTCGGGAAGCGAATACGCCCAAAACAAACAAAACAAAAAAGCCCCCGAAGCAACATGTACAAACCAATTGTTTCCCAGAGAGAATCATTGGCCGCCGCTGTATGCAGGCTGTGCCAGCATCCCACCCAGCAAAAATCCACTCCTTACCTGGGGCAAGACGGAAAGTCCAAGACCCCAGACGAACCCCAAGGGCAAGAATAACGCAAAGCAACGAAGCCCTCAAATGGGAGCGAGACCCTAACTTCCCAGGAAAGAGAACCCTGACATGCAAGGGAATTACTTTCCCACATACTTTCCTGGGACCACATACCCAGCCACCACACCACACAAAGCTGGCAAAGTCGCAAGCACCAAAGCCAGTCAACAAAACAAGGTCAGAGGAGACTTGTTAACACCGGGTACATCAGTCAACCAACTGACGGGAGGTGCTTGTTTCATTGTTTTTCTTTGGGGGGGGGGGAGGACTGGAAGAGTTCTTTGGCTCTGTTCGGACGTAGGTTGTAAATTTAACCAGTTGGAGGTTTGTATTGTGTCGCCTACCTTTCTGGAGGTATCCCTGGTCAATGGCATACATGACAAACTCTAAATGTATAGTAGAGTGCTCATACAGCCATTACTCTTTGCGCCAACGAGGTGGCCAGGTTCTGGCTTGTGGCCCCCGGTAGACACTAGAACGCCCGGGACTGATGCCGCCAAACTAATATGGCACATGTCAGTTTGATAGCTTCAGGGAACCAGAGATGTGATGTGAACGTTCAGAGATGTGAACGTAATGGTGTTTACCTTGAACTATGAAAGAAATCCTGCTACGATTTCATGGTTACGAATGTAGTCATGAATGTTGCTAGGGAAGTGTGTTCATTGTCATATGACGATTTAAGCAATTATTGTCCAAGTTTTACATGCATGATGCAAATATGGATATAATGGCTCACTGTGGATTTAAAGAAAAAACAATCAGTGAAACATAAGAGGATAAAACAGTGTCAGCATAGTCGAGCACAGTGTTGACACTTACCAGACGCAGCCTTGCAGAGCGCATCCACCCAGTGAAACTATAAATATTCACATATTTTTTTTTCTTACACTTTGCCTGCAAATTAATCATTCTATAATGAAAATTGTTTGGGGGAATTTTTTATTTTTGCACATAAGTGATATGGCCATTTTTTCATAGCCACTGTCCAAGGGTTAAAGTGCAAAAGCCTGAGAGATTCAATGTATATTTTATTTATGGAATACAAATTCATAATTAATCATTTCCTGAAAATGTAGTTTTGAGTGGTGCAATGTTCTGTCTGATGTCTTTTTTGTCATGGTTACGTAAAGCTTCATAGGCATGTTGTAGTTGTATAGCAGCATCAGGATGGGCTGTAGAAGGCAGCAGGGTACATTCTCTCTCCAAGACATTTGCCAAGCCTTCCAAAAGTTCCCCAAATCCATAAGAAAGTGCAGCTCTACGAACACGATTAAGTTCCTGTTGGTAAAGATTACAATATACAAATATAGTACAGTATGGTACAACATTGTGAATGTCCAGATAGCAAGTCTAGTAAACAGAATATTTGATGGTAGGTCTCAGCATGTTGAAGTTGGATAACACTGTTCTGACTGGTACTTTAGATATTACTTTAACAAGACTCGTATCCAGACGGTTATAAAATGTTGCTCTTAAAAGACTTCAGACTGGAGAATAAAAGGTGACTAGACCATGTCGTGGTCTAAACAATAAAAGCGTGTGCGTGGGAACATCCACCGCATGGGTTCGAATCCTCATCACAGCTCCAAAGGATTTTCTCATTGATGCAGTCATGTTAGTGTGATTAACTCTCTGTACTTTAGACTGGAAATCTTAAATAAAATAAATACTAAATGAGGAACATACTTTGTAAAAACTTGGAGTTTTATCCGGGAGTTTACGTGCATGACGAAGAATTTTTTGAATATCCGACTGCAGTCCACCTTGTCGCACCCATACCACACAATTTAAAGCATAACTCTTCTTTTCATGAACCTGAAATATGGTAGTTATATTGTATTATAAATAAAAATACAGAAACCTGTACTGCATATAGTCCTTAATTCAAATGAAATAGAATGAAGGTTTTGTACAGTGTCCCATGTAACAATATAGATAAGATGCATAACTCTTGGATGAATGGGTGTAATAAATGAGTGAAATGGGTGATGAATAGAAATGGGATCTCACAAGAGAATAACAGAAAGGAAGTGGCTTTGTGATGTTAAATAGGCTCTGTGAAAGTATGCAGTTTGAGCACAAAATCCAGTGTTGAATGTTATAAAACACATTTCTAGTTGGGCCCTCAGTGGCTCACTGGTGCCCTCACGAGTCATAAAATCACCTATTACCAATCAGAACTAGAACCTGGTCCACCCAAAGAGCTGCAGGGAGCACAGGATATTAGATCATCTCAAGCCAGGAGGAAATAAACCCCTAGAAAGGTAGAGCACTTCGAAATACGTAATTTCACAGAAGAATTAGCAACCCTCACAACTAGGTATTATTGGAATAGTTTTGTCATTACTACGTCTAGTTACACCTGCCTCCCACTGCCAGGTGGTGGCCCTGGCAGCTCCAGGCCCATCAGGTTATACCTGATCAGATATGTACTGTCCAAAACACAACACCAAAGCCCCTGGAAGGGGAAGTGTGGGAACAGAGCCACCACCACCACAGGCATTTCATTTACATTCAATGCTTGAATTGTGGAAGGGCTCCAAGGTGGCTTCCTGCTGCTATCCAGCCCATCCTCCTCTTTTGGTAGTACTTATAGTTAACGATGAGGACTATAGTACATATACTGACGTTCAACACAATTAGAAATTAGAAATATGACATATTGAATTTGGACAGATCGGAAATGATTTTCTATTTACCAGTGTGTTGCAAGCTAAACTAACCTAACCTACCCTTCTTAGGCCTAATACATGCTATTGGAGTCCTAATATAGTACACGTATGTTTTATACCAGGCCTAGGAATATTTAAGTTTGTATTTTAGCTTCATTTTTTTTTTTACCATAAAACGAATACAGTAGTACAAAATTCAACTTTCTAATTCCTTAGTATGTCAATGTTTGTATTATGATGCACATTGCTACAAAAAGTACCACCTAAACAGGAGGATAGGTTGTGCTATCTCACCATTGAAAACAAAAGAACACAGGACTCGCCAGATGCAAAAAGAGAACAGTAGCCAGTAACCCCAGAATACAGGGAGATCAGTGCCAAGTAACCCTACCCAATGTCACACAAGCCCAGTGTGGTCCAGGCACATTATTGAGACATTGTATTATTGTGTTGCTAACATCCTATTCAAGTGTCAAAACCTACAAACTCGAATGTCACCCCAAGATATACAGTATTAAATAACCAGCATTGAATGTAATGAAATGTCAATTTCAGGGTGAACCCTGGTGGCTCCCTGAAGGTACAATGCTGACAGTACGAACCTACTAGGTGCCATCAAATCCTGAGAAAAAGGTTATGAGGCATGAAAACTAATAAAGTAAGTTCTCTTACTGCTCATCCCAGATTGTAATTAATTATAATATAATCATGTTCCTTACTGTTATTGTGGCCTAAATCTTGCCGTCGGGAAGAATTCTAACAAAATCAGTTCACCCACCTAGGGAGGACATTGGGGCGGCCATATTGGGAACCTCCCGAGTTTGAGACATGCCCATGTTTCTTGCCAGCTACGACCTTGCAATTTAAATACAGTGCTGTATTCGGCACCATATTTAATTTATACTATCAAATAATTACTCAAAAATTTAAATAAACATAATACACTTGAAATAAATTCTGGTTTACATTCCTTTGGCAGTGCTGCAAACAAAAGCTTTGTGACTGATATGACCTTATAGTTTGGAGCCATCTTATGAAGGAAGTTTCAGGAAGCCACTAGGGGGCTTCCCTCCAGAAAATATTACCAAAACTTTGCCAGGATAAAGTAAAAGGTGATAATTTGTCATACCTTAAGAGGGAATGGAGATGAAGTGTCAGATGGTCCATATGGATTAACAGGTAACTGTGAAGCTGGTCCCAGATTTGATAGCTTTCCCATCCATGGAATGACATCCACTCCTGTAACAATTATATTGCCATTAGAAATTTTAAATTGAATAATGAGTGAAAATTATGAGATACTGTATTTTCTGTAAAATAAAAGGGGCAACAGCATCAAGCCACAATATACCACAATGTGGGACAGAAAACATGCTTTTTCACACACTGAATTATAAACCCATAAAACTGTGTACCTACCAAGGCCATAAAATGATAAGACATTAGATTGTAAAAAGTTCTCAGAAGAAATGAGGAGACCTGTGATAAGCCACTGGCTTTCTGTACCTAGGGATACAGAGATCTAGGGGGGTTCTAGATAGAAAACTATCCAGAACCACCCTTAGAATTCTTTCTTTATCAGAATTGTTTAAAGCTTTTTCACATAATTTATAGGTTATGTAGTCTGTTTTCTTCAATTCTACATTCCATAACAGAGCATTTATTCACATTAAACTTCATTTGCCAGTGATGCTCCATACACTTATTTTGTAGATGGACTGTGAAATATTAAAGAAGTTGTTTATGACATTTGTGAGACCAAAGCTGGAGTTTGCAGCAGTTTTATGATGTCAATATTTTAAAGAAGCACATCAACAAACTGGAAAAGGAGTGAAGACATGCAACTAAATAGCTCCTGGAACTGAAAGACAAGAGCTATGAGTAGAGGATAGAGGCATTAAATATGTCAAAACTAGAAGATAGAAGAAAAAGAGGTATTATGATCACAAACAAAGATGCGACGATACTACACACACAAAATAGAAACAGGAATCAACAAAATTGAGAGGGAAACTTCTTGAGGCCTGGTACTTCAAGAACATGAGGCCACAGATTTAAGCTAACTAAGCAAAGCTGCTGAAGTAATGTAGGAAAATTCACTTTTGCAAACAGAGTGGTAGACGGTCAGAACAAGTTAAGTGAGAAGGTGGTGGAGGCCAAAATCGTCAGTACATGTAGTTTCAAAATCATGTCGGAAGATCTTACTTTTAACCCTTAAACCGCGCAAAACATACATGTATGATTTGACATAACTAAAGTTTTTCAAACTTGCACAAACACTCCAATTTTTTGTGCATAATCAACTAGGCAAATGCTCCAACTTTGTCTAAATGATCACAACGTAACTTGAAAAACAAGAAAATAAAAAATAATTTTAAAATTGAATATTGAAAACTTCAGATTTTCAAACCAGTGTTGAATGTAATAAAACACCATTTTCTGGGTGAGACCTGGAGGCTTCCCAGAGCTATCCAGTCTGATATGCCAATATCAGACTTTGGCATCAGTCATGTGTGAGGAGTTCTGTGGGCCTACTGGGGACCACGAGCCAGAACCTGGCCCCCCTCACAGAGGCACAAGGAGCAATGGCCTATAGAAACCCCCGTGTGGTTGGAAGCATTCTATGTTTGCCATCGACCGGGTTTGGCACCCAGAAAGGTAGGCATCTCAAAACAAACCCCCTATTCTGGTGAAAATTGCTACAAAAAGCCGAACAAGTGGATAGAACTCCCCAAACAGAAACGAGCAAATGAGTATGATGTCACACGTCACCCCGCCGCAGTCTGAGCAGCTCCCCCCTCCCCAGGAGGGGGAAGGGGGAGCCCCAGACCCTCATGCCAGCCATCCACACCCCAATTCTGAGGCTGGATATCAAAAACACACAAAAAAACACCGACCGGAGGGAGGGAGGGAGGGTTGCCGGGAAGCCTCCGGGTCTCACCCAGAAAATGGCATTTCATTACATTCAACACTGGTTTTCTGGGGGGAGCCCCGTCGGCTCCCCGGAGCTACCTACCCAAAGACGAAAACAAGAGGGACCTAACCCGGGAGGCAGAAGTCGCTCACACCCCAACGTCAAGCAGAGATAAAAGACTGCAACTGGCAAACCGAGGACACACAGGCCCGACAAGGCCCAGGAACATCAACGAAAAAACGCACAGCCGACCTACGAACGATGTGGGCACGGGAAGAGAGAGCAGGCTGGCAGGACCAAACCACCCCACGGACAACCCGAGAACCGCACCCTGGAACAGGGAAGAAGGGAAACCGGAACAACCCAAAGCATGACCCCGATCATGACAGCCGTGGCACACAAAGAACGGCAAAACGCCGCAACCGAACACAACACATGATGCACCACCGGCCAGACCAGCCAAGCATCAACAACCCAAGGACCCCTCTGGAAAGCAGCCGTGTCAGTCGTCGCCAAAAAAGAAGGAGACGGCCGCAAGCGAACAAATCTATCAGGAGAACCAAAAGAGGCGACACCCTGGCACTGGAGGAGAGCATGAAGCACCCCGACCCGATCCCGAGAAGCCAACGCCAAAAAGAAAGAGCCTCGGAAAATAAACCAGAACCGAAGGGGCCACAACAAACCAAGGAGAAGAGAAGAGAGCACCCAATCCAAGAACCAGGACGGCTCAAGCTACGCAAGAGCAGGCCAGAGGTGAACCACGCCAGAGACAGCTCGCAAATTGGTGCAGAGGAAACACCAAAACCGAACTAACCCAGAGCGGCTCTGCCAGCGCCACACGAGACAAGGCGACCGTATGTGGCAAGATGACGGCCCTGAACCTCCACAAGAGAAGGACAAGACCACGCCAACAAAATGCAGCAAACCTACTAAGGGACAAAAAGAAAAAAGGAAGGACCGCCAAAAAAAAAACATACGCCACCAAGACAAAGCACGCAGGTGGGACACCAACAACGAAGCCACCTGATCACCAACAAATGGCGACACTCGAGGCAGAACCGAACCAGTCCAGATCCAGCATAGGAAGAGGCGGAGCTGCAGGAAAACCTCGGGTGTGAACACCGAGCAAGCAGAGCTGGAAATCCTAGCCGGCAAGGAACCAGATGGAACGTCTGCCGTACAGAAAACTTCCCAATTTTAGCGAGCTCGACAGGAGATCGAAAATACTGTGGTTCCGAAGTGAGACTCGTGAGAAGTGACACCACGAGATCATGAAAATGCCAACTGGCAGGGCATGCCAGGAAACCTGGAACCCAAACCCGGCAAGCTGGGAAAGAACCAACCCGGGCGAGCAGAAAGTCTCATCTGGGGGAACCCCCGGGGAACCCCTGAAGGACCAACAAGTCCGACAACGGATTAAAAACCAGAAGCCGCCAGCAGAAGAAAATGCCCAAACGCAGACGCCACAAACAGCAAGGACAAAACTGCAATGAAAAACGAAAAGCCAGGGCCCAGGCCAAGGCCAACGAGGAAGCGAGCACTGCAAACCGTAACATAAAGCGAAAAGCAGGGACACTGCAACCCACAGGAGCGGCGAACGCAGCCCCCGCAGAGCAGAACGAAGCACGCAATGCTGAGGAAGGTATAAGAACAAACCAAAACTTGAACCACATGAAAATAAAAATGCACTGCCCGAAAAGGAACACAAAGAAAAAGGCCGGAGCCAGGGCCTGAAACCCCGCACCTCCCGGCCCAACAAAAAGAAACTGCAGGGGCAGGAGAGGAAGAACGGAAGCTACAATCACCTGCATACAGGGCAACCCAGAAGCTAGGTGTGCCAAACAAGGATTAGATGAAAACTCAGGACCAGAACCGAACACAGGGGCAGTGCAAAAGCAGGGAACTGAGTATGGACAAAGTCCAACCTAGCATTAGTAGAGCCAAGAAGCACATACTAAAACACACAACAATGTGTAGGAGAGAATGAGAAAAAACGGAAAATGCAAGAAAAAGACCAGAAAAACAGCCTAAGCACCAGCAGCAAGGAACAAGAGCGTAGAAGGAAGATGAGGAACGAAGACAGGCAGTAAGCGGGACCGAAAAGAGTCATGACCTACTTACACACAGAGAAGCCAATGTATATGGAAGGGCTTAGCCAGGCACTGCACGACGGTCAAGGAATGAGTGTTAGAGATAAGACTACGAAAGACGGGGCCGTGCCCCACCATGTAACAAATAACACAGACGAACAAGGAAGGCCAAAGGAAGAAACACGCATGGGCCAAACAAAACACCACAACCAACCCCCAACACTCGTCCAAAAAACACGAACCAGCACCTGGCCGAAAGAGACGCCCGACTGCATAAACTCACCTACAGAGCGTGGGCACTAACGGGTCCCGACACATCGTAGCCGAGAACATTCCGGGAGCACCACTAGCGGAATTAGGCCAGAGCCGCACATGCAGAAGAGAAGGGTAGAGGCAAATGCGACACCCCACACCCATATGCAGAGAAAAACTAGGCGTCGTCCTCATATCGGTAATCTCCAACACCCCCAGCATCTACGGGGCCCGGACAGGAGAGATAAGAGGAGCGAGAGGCGAAGTATCTGAGGAAAAAAGGATGCGGAAAATCACACTTGCGTACACCGTCCATAACAAAACAAACTCCCACGGCGCATGCGCAGGACGCATGAGGTTCGAACCGCACAACCCATTCGGCGGGAAGAGCCCCAACAAGGAATATTTAAAGAATATTAGCAGTGCCAAGACAGAGCATGGAGAAAAGATACAATTACAAAAGAAGGAGATAGTACCGAAAATCAAGAAGAAGCATAGAAGAGGACCAACGAGTCCTAGAAAGGACTGGAGGTAAGCCTCACCGGAAGACGACAGACGTTTCAATAATATGGGAAGAATCGAAGACCTTCCAGAACCTTCGAGATCCTACAGAAGCAAGCACAAAATCCCGAATGCTCATAAAGGCACAGTCGCACCCGAGACCAAAGGTCATGCAGAACCCTGATACGAGGGGAACATGACTCCCGACATGACGGAGAAGTTCAGTCCCAGAGAAGGGTGAGAAAACGAGGAGAGTACCCACCCATAGGACGGAATCGAAGGGACAAGAAACCGAACCCGGGAAGGGGCTGATGCCCAACAACTCGTACGCAGAGAAAAAGGAAAAAACCCCACTCCGCATAACCGCAAGCCCCACTCAGAGGGTAGAAAACCCTGGCAGGGTCCAACGAGGCCCGAGGCCACTCTCCCCCCAAGTCAGCCCCTCCCCAGCCTTGGGAACCTAAGGTCACTCATTCAAGGTCACACGCACTAAACTTTCTCCCCCAACAATACTGTTTGCAGTGTTATTACACTATATACACATATTATATATAAGTATCTACATACTGTATGCACAGTAACTGTACACCTAAGCTTGTAGAGTGCCCAAAGAGCATAGTGGCCACCCTCTATACAGCCAGACAAATCATGCAGACGACGTCACCTCCGTCACCCATATGGCTCCTCCCAACATAATCCTTTTGCTGTTATTACACTAATACACACATTATGTAGAAATATCTGTATTTGCATTCACCATAGAGAACCACTGAGCTGGTATGGTGAATGCAGACAATAACAGGTGGCCACACAGTCATAGCGTATATATACGCCATGCGCAGTTTAAGGGTTAACATTGGGCAATATATTTATATGATATATATTACAAAAACAGAGCATAATAGCATACTTACTCATTATTATTTGTGGTATTATGTATTACTCAGCAATGCTATAAAGGCACCAGCTACATATCTACTCTGTGGACACTTCTTACTACTATTCTTCTTCTTTGTGTCGGACAGGTGCTTGCATCTCTATTACTGCATTATCCATCAGTTCCAGTTAATTGGAGCTGTTCTCCCTATCAACAAAACGTTCTTCTTTTTAACAAATTCGTCTAAAGTCAATTTATGAAAATATTTTGATGAAAGTTTCACGATGCTGAAGCCAATAAATTGGAGATTTGCTTAACATTTTAATTTTTTTTTTAAATAATTCAAATATTTTTTGCTTCCGGGCTCTAAATATGTGCGGTTTAAGGGTTAAAGAACACAACACAGTCAAAACTGCAAGAAAAACGAGCGGTTGGATAACAAGGATCTTCCAAGCAAGAAATGCCACACCAATGATGATACTTTTAAGACATTAGTGCTCTCTCAAGTAGAATATTGTTGCAAACTGGCAGCCCCATTTAAAGCAGGATAAATTGCTGACCTGAAGATTGCAAAGATCTTTTACCGCTAGAATCCACTGAATAAAACATTTAAATTATCGAAACTGCTTAAAATTTTTAAACCCGTATTCCTTAGAGTGCAGACTGGAGAGATACACAATTATCTACACTTGGAAAATATTAGAATGACTGGTTCTAAATCTACACTCAGAAATAAGACCACATGAGACCAGAAGGCATGGCAGGATGTGTAAAATAGCCCCGTTGAAGAGCAGAGGTACAATAGGCATGCTAAGAGAACTCAATCAACATAAAGGCTCAAAACTTTTCAACACTCTTCCACTACACACACATGGCATAACTGGCCGATCTCTCGCAGTGTTTAAAAAGAGAACTCGACAAGCACTCTCAAAGGGTACCTGTTCAACTAGGTTGTGACTCATACTTCTGGCTGCGAGCAGCTGCATCAAACAGCCTGGTGGATCAAACCAGCAACTAGGAGGCCTAGTCAGAGATGGGGCCGTGGAGACTGTTACGAACCTTGTCTCCTGTTGAGAGATTTTGATGGAGAGAAACTTTGTAACAAGTTAGCTAAAGAAAAAGAGAGAAAGTTCAACCCATTTTCTTGTTTAGATAGTAGTTTTTGTAACAGTGCACCATAGTACAAAGATTGCCGTTCTAAGCAATTAGATAGTAGAACTTTGTACTATTCACCTTACAGTTGGGAAAAAATGAAGCTAAAAACAAACTTAAATATTTCTAGGTCTAGTATAGCACACATATGTACTATATGAGGCCTCAGATAGCGTGTATTAGCCTAGGAAGGTTAGGCTGGATTAGTTTGTCTTCGTAACATTAATAGAAAATAGTTTTCCGGTTTGTCCAACTCAATAGTGTCGATTTCTGCTTTCTAATTTCGTTGTACGTCGGTGTATATATATACTATGGTCCTCATTATTACTATAAGTTCTACTAAAACAGGAGGATGGGATGGAAAGTTATGTAAAAGCGATAAGGAGTACATTTCCTGAAAAAACCTGCAGCCAGCAGCTGGGAGGTCGTATGTTGTCGATATCAATCCGCCAAGAAAAATAGTACCTTGAGCTGGAGATTTATTGTGAACTATGTATACATTATATGGGAATATTTTATGAAGAAAAAACGGAGTCATTTGTATAACCTACGAAGGGAGTATTATTAAATGAGTCCTTATAGTTTGACTAGGAATGATGAGAGCTGGGATCAGGGGGCAAGTGACATGGCCAGACAGATGGACGCCATCATCCCCTGGTCGGAGGAGCATCTGTGTTGGCCAATCACCAACGTTTCGAGGAGTTAATTCCTTCCAGATAAGCCTTAATGTTGTAGTTATTCAGGTTTCAAGAGTTTGTAGAGTAAATTGAGGTTCTACCGAGTATGTTACTCAGGGTCCAGATTTCCTCCTAGTTCATATATATGTGTCTGACAAATATGCTAACAGGTGTGGTTGCTGTATAAATTTATTATTGCTGGACAAGAGAATTAAGGTTACCATATTGCTAGAGTCCTTTGTGGAAGATAAATCACATTGGTGTGTAACTACAGTATTAATGAGAATATCATTAAGTTGTGAGGAGTCTTGTATGAAATATTTTATCTGGGGTTTTATTTTATAAATATATATCACGTGCATATATTGCATGTGCATATATATTGCATATAACTGCATGTGCTCAAGTGTTTCCTTTCCTAGGTGCTCCCTAGTGCTGCCTTTGCGTTGACAATTCTTTTCTCTTGTGTGTCTGGAGGTAGCTCCAAGGAAGCTACCTTGCTTGAGGTGGCCCTCACTTTGGAGGAGTTGAGGGTTCTTGGTCCCGATGCCGTTGCCCCAGAAAGGAGTGACGTTGATTGAAGGGGCATACTAGTGCTTTGCATGCTCAACATTTATGGTGTGAAGAAATCAGCCTTCACAGCTATGTGAACCATGCTGTGTCAGCTTACTTTTAGATCCAACATAGTGATCCCAGTGTCTGGATGTCCTACTTGTTTTAGTCTTCAAGCTCTGGTATTCCCCAGTAGGCTTGGTGGTCCCCCTAAGAGATCCCCACCCTGAACCTGCGCTCGATTCATGCGAGTTTGAAGGTTCCTTCCCCTTCGGGCATGGTTTGTATTCCTTTTTGTTCTCTTCCCCCCCCCCCTCCCTCTCTCTGCTCTAGCCCTGAAGTGTCTAAAGGATTAGCTTGGGATATGGCTCGGCCAAATCTGGGGGTTGCACCTTCTGAATTGGGCACAGAGGCAGTTGAGGCAGTTGAGCCAGCTGGTCTCACCGAGGTTTCAGGGTTTTCCTTTCAGCCAACACCATCCACGTCTTATGAAGCTTCTCTCTTGGACTCTGCTTTTCTATCCCAGGCGGTGGACGAGGGCACTGACTCTGCCCCAGTGCACTGGACAGTGGTTTTTGGGGGTTGGGGAGAGTCTCAAATAGGCCCCTGGGTGTCATTCGACTCATTGTGGTTCCTGGTTTCCTCTGAGAAATGTCTCCTTTTACAAGGGGAGGTGTTTTCATATCCTCATTCCTCGTACGAGAATGATTCAGGTGCAGCGCTCCCTACGGTTTGGTGTCGTGTGTCTTTGGCCCATCGGGATTGTCCTTCTGGAGGTTTTGTTCCTCTCGGGTTTCTCTTTCGGCGACTCAGGAGGCGATCTTGACATACCTTCTGCAAGACCCAGATTATGCCTCTTTGATGGACCCTTACTCTTTTGAGTTTTGCACAGATTTTGTTGTACCCATACTCTTGAGGGGCATGAGGTGTCGTCCATGTTGCAGGTGTTTATTGGTCTTCTCTTATGCATCTCTCCTCACTTAAGCAGTTGCATCTCACCTCTCATGCATCTCACCTCTCTTAAGCAGTTGCACCTCTCAATGACAGTCTGCTTGCTCTCTCTCTTTCTCGAGATGTTAGTCTCGTGAAGCTCCATTCCCAGTAGAGATTGTCATTGGTTCTACTTATGGCTGATGACCTTAGTACCCACTTGCATTTGGGGTCTGATATGCAGTATCTGAGCCTCCTTGAGCTTCATACTGACTGACTCCTGGAGGATGCCGAGGAACTAGGCATCCTCTAGGATGCCTAGTAAAAGGATAGCTGTAAAAGATATCCCTAGGGGGGATATCTTTTACAGCTATCCACCAATCTAAAAGAAAATAAAGGTGGCACTGCAGAGTCCTGTGGCCTACTGTCAAACTACATACTGTCTAAGAGAGTGGAGGAGGATGCATGAACGCAAATGCATAGTCAGTGTAAACGGATATTTGAAGGTCAAACTTGGGGTTGAGCGGTGTACCTCAGATTACCTAGGATGTTATCTAATGGTAGTCAGGTGCTTTAAAGTTAGGGTATTTATCTCATGGCAATGATCATTTGCATTATTTGCCTTCAAACAGTTGGATGTTTTGTTGCATCTATGCTTACTGGTGGGTTTCACCCCCAGTTTTACGGTTGATCTCTAATCCTACGGTCTCCTTATCTAATAGACTGAGCCAGATTCTGGTTCTGACCCATGGTAGGGGACAAACTGGTATCAGAGGCCTAGTGTAAACTTGGGAAGCTACTGAGGGGTCCCTCCCAGGAAATAACACACACAACTATACCTTCTATGACTGGCCTCACTGTACATACCTGGTACAAAGAGAGAGAGCATGAGGTTTGATTTTTTCTTATTGTCTGCCCAAGAGTAGAGGATACCATGCCAGTTCTCTCCAACTTGACACAAGGCCACCATGTTCTCGCGCTGTCAAAAGACCAGTTTTGGTTATACAAATTATCATCGCAATATCACATAATTATGATTTTAATCAATTTTGTAATAATATTCATCTGGCATGCATAATACGGACAATAAAAACCAGTGCTGAATATGATGAAACCTACTGGTTCCCTGAAGCTATGATGCTGAGATTGTAAACCTTACAAAGTCACATCAGTCATAAGCATCCTGTTGGCCTACAGGTGACCAGAGCCAGAACCTGGCCACTTCGAAGAGGCATAGGGAGCAGGGAATTGTTATGATTACCCTCACCAGGAAAGTAACCATAATATACAAAAGACAATGCAGACAACTGCAAGGGTCATGAAAATAAAACACCAAAACAGTCAACACTGCAAAAAGATTCATTCACAATGATTTGGTTCTCTTGACTTTGGTATGAAACATTCCCCCTAGTGCACAAACCATAAACAGGTTGTGTCTTGAACTTTGAAGAAGTCCAGAACACCACCTTCAAAATGGGTGATTGCTCAGTCTGAAGCAGTCAAACCACAAACCAACATACCTGGTGGGGGGGGGAGTCAGGGGGGCACTAGGGCTCACCCAGAAAAGTGAGCTAATGTAAAAATGTAAAGGTTCTTTACATTCAATGCTAGTTTTCAAGGGGAAGCCCCTTAGTGGCTCTCTAAACTAACAACATAAAAAAAAGGAAACATGGGATTTGCTAAGGAGAGGCAGCAGCTACAAAGCCAAAGATGAAACGCCAAGCGGGGAACTGCGACCAGGAACATTGACCAGATACATAGGCACCAAGACCCAGCTAGATCTCCAAAATCCCTGAGCCCAAATATCAGCCTGTGACACGTTAACGTAAATAGCAGCCAAAGCCGCGAACTTACGAACATTATGGAAATGAGTGTAGACCGCAAGCTAGCTTCAATGACACCGGATGATTTTTTATGTTGGCAAATCTAGAATACATCACCGACGAAATCCTTCTGATGTTGGCTTCTGGGGACAGGTTCGGTGTTATATCACAACCTGACCTACAAAGAACGTCACATTTTGCTTGTAAGCGATACACAAGGCCAAAAATTGTCATACTAGAAATTGGAAGCGGCTCGCAAAAGTGATGTACTGTCTCATTTTCTGTTTTGGGTCCTCTGGTAGGTTGCGAGAGGACACTTTAAATTGACCGTTTTCTTGACGTTGGGAAAGCTTAGGATGACAGGCTGGATATCAATCCTCAGCCCTTTCTCTCTACTTGACTCTTTAAGGATTTCACCTCCCAGATGGTACCTTGTTTGGCCTTATGCTCCTTTCACTTAATTTCATTACTTTACATTTACCCGAGTTAACTTTTAGTAGCCATTCTCTAGACCATTCCTCCAATTTGTCCAGGTCATCTTGTAGTTTCTATCTTCATTTATCTTGATTCCTCTCATAATTTCTAAATCATCAGGAAGCATTGAGAAGAATGAGTCTATACCCTCAGGAAGATCATTGTGGGGAAACATAATTTTGAGATTGTATGTGGAAATTTCCCACAATCATTTACATATATCAGAAACAGGATGGGCCCAAATACATAGCACTATGAAACTCCACTGGTAACATCTCACCACTCTGAGGTCTCCTCCTCAGAGTAACTCGCTGTTTTCTATTGCTTAGATACTTAAGATACAGCTTCTTATGGGGTACTGTGTCAAAGGCTTTCTGACAATCTAAGAAAATGCATTTTTTTATTTTTTTATTTCTTATTTTATTTATATATACAAGAGTTCTTACATTCTTGTAAAGCCATTAGCCTGCATGGCATTTTAGGCAGATCCTTAATCCTAATTTTTTCACCGGAATACAACCCGCCAAATCCCAGCAAGCATAAGAAATATTGCCGGAACAACCGTGGACATTTTCATAAGTCCTCCCAGCAAGCATAAGAAATATTGCCGGAACAACCGTGGACATTTTCAAGAGGAAACTAGATTTATTCCTCCAAGGAGTGCCGGACCAACCGGGCTGTGGTGGGTATGTGGGCCTGCGGGCCGCTCCAAGCAACAGCCTGGTGGACCAAACTCTCACAAGTCGAGCCTGGCCTCGGGCCGGGCTTGGGGAGTAGAAGAACTCCCAGAACCCCATCAACCAGGTATCAACCAGGTAAATCGTTTAATGAGGTACCCATTCACTGCTGGGTGAACAAAGGCTACAGTTAAGGACTGGCACCCAGTCAATCCTCCCCGGCCAGGATACAAACCCAGGCCAAAGCACTCACGAAGCGCCAGGCGAGTGCTTTACCACTACGCAACGGGAACTACCCGTGGCGGACAGTTGTGCATCCTTCTATTTCTTGCCAAATTTATTGTCGCCTGGTCATAGAATTCTATTAAACTTGTGAAACACGATTTGTCAGTTACATTAGGAGGCCAGTGCCCAGGAGTAGCACCCACTAAAACTGGGAGCTCAGGCCCGGGCAAGCAGTGAGCTACGTTCTTCCTTCCCTAAACATGTGGGGGAGGTGGGGCGAATGAGCTTATAATTATGAAAGAATTTTATATTTATCTACATAGATTAGTAAGTTCTTTTGGCCAGTTTCTAGGTTTCAGTCTCTCTTCAATGCAGGGGTAGTTTGTTTTGACTTGCTGACTTTCTGGTTGCCTTCCTCTGTGAGGTGGCAAAAATAAATGTCCCCACTCCCTGCACCTCTGTGAAGGAGCCGTGTTCTGGCTCCAGTTCCTGGTAGGCCTTTGGAACTCTACAGCTGATGTGACCTAGTAGATGGTAACCATCTCAGCATATAACTTCAGGAAGCAGCCAGGGTTCACCCAGAAACTGGCATTTTATTACTGTACATTCAATGCTGGTTTTATTTGTTGGTCAGGGTTTCTGTCCATGGTGAAACGTCATGGTTCTTCAGTCTTCTCTTCACCCCAACTTATTTTGTACTGAGATGGATACAGATGAATTCGGACTTCTGTTAGCAGGATTAGAGCTTTTCCTTCTCAAAGCTCATCTAAAGTCTCACTTCACTAATTTTCCCTAGAACACAACTCACCAAAGGGTTTACAACCAAGTCCCCAATAGCTATTCACCCAGCCCAATTACAGCTGGGTGAACAGGGTCTAACAGTTACAGATAGGCTTCTAGTCAATACTCACTGGCTATGGCTCAAGCATAGACACAATCACTCATGAGGTGCAGGGCGAGTGTGCTACCACTATGCCACAGGATCTGGCCTCAGTCTGACTTTTTGCTACCATGGCCCCTTTCCCATAGCTTTTCCTTCTGGAAGCCATTGGCCTATGGCTTCCAAGCTCATTAAAAGTGTTGTATGTGTTAGCTTAAAGACTGTACTTTAGGTCCAGGTGCAGGTCAGCATGATAAAGTACCCTGGAGACTTTCACCTCTCTCTGGCCTGTTCTATCAGTTCAGTGTCTCTGTTGCCAGTGGTTGCTTAGCTCTGTCGGCCTGGACATTATCTATTGATGTCCACAGAGTCTTGTCTCCATATGGCACAGGTTGGCAGATCCTTATGGGATTGTTGTGTCCTGGGCTGGCACACAGGTTCTGACCCAAGGAACGACAAAATGGCTACCAAGAAAGGTATGCTTAACAGATACTATTTATTAGGGTAGAAATAATTTGTGTTGTAGTTATATTTTCACTTACAATACAGTACAGTAAATATATTGGTAATTATGGATACTTTTTTGTACTTAGTACTGTAACTGCTATGCATTGTGAATCTTTTTGACTTTGTATTCACATGGTTGAGTCAATTTTTCTAACATCATGATATTTGTTAAAATTATTTTACAGTAATAATAAATATGAAAAGATTTATTTGATCTTAGAAATGTCAAAAAATGCAAGAAAAAAAAACATATCTGGAACAAAATATATCAAGCATAAATATGCAGTCAAAGTGTTACTAAATATCACAAATACATGACAAATATTGCAATAATATCAAGGAAAGAAACTTACCTTGAGTCCACCATGAAGCAAAACACAAAATGAGGGGATTTTCCCTTCATCATTACCACTACCACCACCCTCGTCATCACTTCCAGGCTCAACCTTCGGCAACATTACCATGTCACCTGAGCAATAGAAATAATAATTTAAACACTGTTATATGTTAAAGGTCATATAGTTATGTGTTAAATCTGTCTAAATGTATACTGTATTTATGATACTCCGTTTTCCACAACAAAGCAAGGCTGTAATAGATACCTCAAAAAGACTACAATCATTGTACAATCTACAAAAACTGATTTATATCGGAATTCCTCTGGGATAAACCTTTCATTCGGTTTCTTATTCTTTCTTGTTTCATCTTCAAATCCATTCACTTATGTACAGTCTCTTGGTCATTCTATTCATGCCCTTAATTTATATACACTGTACTGTATAACCCCAAACCACCAGCCAAGAGTCAAAGTGATCAGAACAGGGCACACACACACACGCATTTGAACAAAACCCATATGCCGAATAGGACAGCAATAGGGCTCCCACAGAACAAGCAAAGAAACACCTGAAACTGCCAGAGAGAGACATGGGCAACCCCTCCAGGGAAAATAATGGAATGCGCATAGGCACACAAAGCCCAGCGAGAGAATCACACAGGTAAAAGTGCAAAAGAAGGCTGCTGTGCAACCACTCTAAAGGCCAACAAGGAAACTGAACATCTCACACAAAATATAAGACACCACCCATGACTAGTGGCGGGGAAGAAGCACTATGATCCGGAGGCCAACTAGGCTTGACCAAGATCAAACCAGTGATGAAACCAACCACATACTTGGCAAAAGAGAGAACCCAAAAACCATATCTTGAGGTTATGTTGAGATGATTTCGAGTCTTAGCATCCTCACGGCCCGGTCCTCGACCAGGCCTCCTTTTTTGTTACACCTTCCCAGAAAGCAGCCCATATCAGCTGTTTAACTCCCAGGTACCTATTTACTGCTAGGTGAATAGGGGCATTAGGGTGAAAGAAACTCTACCCATTTGTTTTCACCTCTACCGGGGATCGAAACCGGAACCTTAGGACTACAAATCCTGAGTGCTGTCCACTCAGCTGTCAGGCCCCATCAGCCAAGAAATAACCACAAACTTTGGTTAGCAAATAAAATGATTGGCTAACTGGAAGGCTTTGCCCAAGCCAACCAGTCGGTGATGCAGACAAAGATACAAAGCCTTAAAAAGAGATACCCTGACCTAGAACACCAACTGCGGCAGCTCTAGGGCATCCAACCGGGCACACAACCTAGACCGCTTCAAAACAGAAAACCTCAAGCTGAAAGCAGTCACTACCTGAAAATCCTGGACTTCATCAAGAGAGTTCGTAAGGAGAGTAACATCAGAAGAACAAGTCCCACACAACTCAGGTTCAAAGGTGTCACCGACCCAACAGGCAGCATGGTGGAGATAGAAGGAATGAGCATTGCCACATGGCACAAAAAGCACAACCTTCAAATTTGCATAAGGCAAGAGGGAGCTCATTGGGGATATCCATTGGACCACCAAACCCACAGAGGTTTTCCCAGGGCCTGCAGGTAAGCCCAGACACTGGGAATGCTACACTAGGATACACTATCTAATTGTATAGGCTCTCCTTATATTTGGAAAGAGAAGACAAGATATGAAACTACACCAAAGAATATATGGGAGGAGAGACTAGCAGGCCAACACAGTTCAATCCCAAGGCTGTAAAGGCTGACCTTGGCACACCGGGTAGGATGAGCAAACCACAGTGCACCCCTCCAGCCAAATATCACTCCTGACACCAGAGACGACAGAAGGTCAAAGACAACCGACTTACCCAGGGCGAGGACCACCACAAGTGAGTAAGCCCTATAAGGGAGTGATCCCCTAATACTTGAGGGAAGATAACCCTGGCAGTGCAAGGGCAGCACTAGGAAGCACACAGGAAAGACAGCCCTGTGTACATGCAGCTAAAAGTGCACTCAACTCCTGTCTCATCTGCACAGATATGCACAGGAACAACCACAAAGAAAAATCACCACTTATCTGAAAACCCAGACATTGAAGCCAGAGGGACAGAGGGCAACCAAGAACTTCTACCATCAACAAAAAAATGAGGGTGGAGCAGCCGGCTGACCCGGGCTGCCTCTCTCTCTCTCTCTCTCTCTCTCCTATCCCCAAATGATAGGGGCAGGTGTTGTGATAGTTTTGTGAATTTTCCATCATTTGTTTACATTGTTGGGAGAGCCATTTTGGCAGTTTTTTAAGCTGGGGTCTTGCTTCTAACCAGCAGTGGTCTGTTTTGTCTCACTGACTTTCTGGGTACCTTCCCTGGTGGTGGCAGACATGATTAAATTTGTAGAAATTTGATCTTACATGCCACTGTAGCCTGCACCTATCTGGAGGGGGCCAGGTTCTGGCTTGTGGTTCCACGTAGGCCTAAAAGAACTCCCTGAATGATGACACCTAGTAGTTTGGAACTATATCAAAGTAGCTTCAGGGAGGCATAAGGGGCTACCCCCAGAAGTGTTTTTTCTGGATTTAATATCAACTCACCTTTTGCAGAAAGTGGCAGGACCAGATGCCTGGAGAATGCAGGTGGGGAGGACACATCTCCAGTGTTAAGAAAGCCCAATACTTGAATGGCTGAATCCACACTCACACGCATCACCTCAAAATCATGATGGCGGCAATAAGGCTAAAAAGAAGATGGTTACATTGCATAATAACTTAGAAATATTGTACATAGAAGCCATAAAAAAATTTCAAAGCAGTAACCTAAGTTAAGAGTTGTGTGCAATCAAGGAAGAAGGTACAAAAGCCCACAAAGGGTCAAAAAGAGCCCAACAGCTCCAATCAGACTCCCCCAAGCCCCAGCAACCACAGGCAAGGGCCCCAGAGCAGAGCACTCATCGACACCCACTGTCTGGCAAGGGAAGACATAGCCCAATGGAAAGGCTTCAAAAGAGGGAGATGGCTGGGAGGTCTCCAAAGCTTCAGTGGGAAAGAACAGCTACCTCCGCACCCAAATTGGAAGGGGCAACCCCCAGATCAGCCCAGGCCAAATCCCAAGCTAAACCCTGCCCAGAGTACGAAACCCTCACACACCTCAGACCCAGATGCAGGAGGGATAAAAATGGCAAACCCAGCCATTGGGGAAGGAAGAGGGGGATACAGACAGACCCAAAGTCAAGGCTAAAAAACACACCCCAAGTCCAAGGCCCAAAAACACAAACAGGGCAGATCCAGGACAAAGATGATATCCTTTAAATGTAAAGTGATCATAGGCCATTGCTCCCTGCACCTCTATGAGGGGGCCAGGTTCTGGCTCATGGACTCCAGTAGGCCCAAAGAACTCTGCAACTGATGACACTAGGTAGTGTGGCCCTTAAACAGTGATGATAGCTATAGGGAGCCGATGGGGCTCCCTGCAAAAAAAATACCATGTTCCTTACTTTCCTTTTAGGGCTTTAGTAAAAAACCAGCGTTGAATGTAATGAAATGCCATTTTCTGGGTGAGTCCCAGAGGCTTCCCAGCTATCCAGGCTGAATGGACATGTATAACTTTCTGGCATCAGTTGAGTTCTTGCCTACCGGGGACCACAAGCCAAAACCTGGCCCCCTCAGAGAGGCATGAGGAGCAATGGCCTATAGAAACCCCCCCTGTGGTTGGGAGCATTCTGTCTGCCATCGACCGGGATAGGAATCCAGAAAGGTAGGCGCCCCAAAACAAACCCCTATTCTGGTGAAAATATTGCTACCGAAAGCCAAACGAGTGGACAGAACTCCCCAAAGAAAATTATCAAACTAGCATGACGTCATCACGTCGCTGCACCGCCATCTGTGCAACCCCCCCCCTCCCCGGGAGGGGGAAGGGGAAGCCCAAGACCCTCCACGCCGGCGATCCAACTGGCAGTTCTTAGGCTAGATGTCAAAATACGCGAAAAACACCGCCAACTGGAGGGAGGGAGGGATGCCAGGGAGCCTCCGGGACTCACCCAGAAAATGGCGTTTCATTACATTCAACGCTGGTTTTCTGGGGGGAGCCCCGTCGGCTCCCCGAAGCTACCTCACCACAGATAAGGAAAATAGGGAAGGATCCGGGAGGCAGACGCCACACGCCCTAACCTAAAAACCAAGACTACAGATGAAACAAAGACCCTGCAGACCCGGACCCCCGAACAGGAACGAGGGAAGAAAGGGAACGCAGACAACCAAAACGCGTCCACGATCCCAGAGGCCAAGACACGCAGAGAAGAGCAAAAAAAAAAAAAAAAAAAAAAAAAAAAAAAAAAACGCAACCGAACAACAAAGGAAGCACCCCTTCGGCCCAACCAACCAAGCAGCATCCCAAGGACCAAAACGAGGAGAAGAAAAAGAGACCACCAGGGCCAACGATTAGGACGGCACCAGACACATAAGAGCAGGCCGGAGGTGAAACAACGCCCAGGACAGCAAGCAGGACGGAACAGAAAGAACAGCAACACCGAACGCAAGCTGGAGCAGCTCCGCCAGCACCACCCAAAATGAGGCGACAGTACACAGTCCCAAACGACGGTCCCGGAAAAACCTCGAAGGGAAAACAAGTCAACCCTATCAGAGACCAAAGGACCCTTCGCAGTGGTAGGAAAACCACACACCGCTCTCGAGACGAAACATGCTGGTGGGAGACCAACAACAAACCCACCAGTGTCGACACAAGCGACGAGAAACGAGAGACAAAAACCTGAGACACAAAAACTCGAGGGGAAGAATGGACCAGCTCTGTACAGAGCAGGACCAATCTGCAAAAAGAGGCGGAACTGCAGGAAGACCCACCTGACCGGAACCAAGGAAAGCAGCAGGTCCTGCCAAGGCAGGCAAAAAAACAAAAGGAACAGCCGCCAGGGAAACAAAGAACCCTATCCCAGCGAGCCAAAAAGGAACCAACCCGGGCGAGCAAAAATGCCCCGTCCGGGAGGAATCTCCCCCAGGACCCCTGAAGGACCAAGGCCAAACACCAAGGAGCCAGGGCCTAGGCAGAGGCCAACGAGGAAAACGAGCACCACAAACGAAAGTGCAAAACGTGAATCAAAAAACAGCGACCCTGCAACCCCCAAAGGAGCAACATAACCAGCTCCAGCAGGGAAGAATGACGCACACGTCCCTGAGGCATCCATGAGGAGAACTATGCAGGATGTGAACCGCAGGAAAGCAAACACACACGTTCTGGAAAAGGAACAAAAAAAAGCCGGAGCCAGGACCTGAACCCAGCTACCTGTTCCAAGAAAAGGAACCAGTAAGGCAGGAGCAGTGGACCTAAAGTCCACAACCCCCCACAAACAGTGCAACACCGAAGCCTACAGTGAGTTACAAAGAAAAAGTGTAGGAACTCTGTACCAAAACAGAACACCGAGGTAGTTCAAAAGCAGGGAAGTGAACATGGACAGAGGCCCACCCGAGAACCCAACATCAGGATAGTCAATAAGCACCAACCCAGATACACAGTCAAGTGTAGCATAGGAAGAGGAAAAACAGAAATAGGCAAGGAAAACCCTGAATACGGACCAAGGAGCGGCCGGGAATGTAATGCACACGACCAACCACAAAATGTGTAGTGGAGAGGGCACATACCCAAGGGACATCATGGATATCAGGGCGCAGCCAGGCACCGAATATAGGCAAGGAATGAGCATCCAGAGATCACAAACCAAGCAATGAAGGACACAAACAAGGACTGAGGGAACAAAGGAGTGTCCAAAGATAGGGAAAAGACCCAGGTGCCGACAAACAAAACCAAAAGCACCGAAATACGGGACAGAGCCCCACAGGACAACAAAGAACAAGACACACGGACAAAGGAAAGTCACTGAAGACACACGCAAGGTGTCCAAACAAAACACACAACACAACTGTTAGGAGCCATCGACGTAACCCTGCCAAGCAGGGAAGTGAAAGAGTAAACAAGGATGGAGCAGTGACCAAGGGTGGCACATGCACAAGGGGACCCAGGAGAAAGCTGAGTACCCAAATGAGCCACAGACATGAAAAAGAACCTGACCAATGTCAGAGGAAATAGGAATAGGAAGCGATGTGGTGGAGGCAGACTCCACCCACAGGAGCAAACGTAGATAAGACAGAGCCCAGGAGGCTCTGGAAACTGCACACACTTAGGTGATTACCCAAGTAATCTGTTATCTAAGTAATCTAAGTAGTGTTACCCCTACACTTAGGTAATTACACCCATCGACCAACAGGAGACAGGCGGGACCAAAGAGCCAGTGCTCAACCCCCGCAAGCACAACTAGGCAAGCACCCCACCAAAAGTCGAGAACCAGCACCTGGGCGACAGAGGTGCCAGACAGGACAATCTCACCTTCAGAGCAGACACACGACTGTGCCACAACACAGTCGAACCATACGTCATACGTCAGGCTGCGAGCAGCGCGTCCAACAGCCTGGTTGATCAGTCCAGCAACCAGGAGGACGCTAAGCCCCGGAAGCACCTCAAGGTAACCCATGTAACACACCAGGAGCATTGCTAGCGGTGCGCTCGAACGCCATGCATACTAGAGGCAGTAGGCATTGTATGTACTGTTACCTGAATAAAAATTGGAAGTCTAAGGTGAAATATGTCCAGAGGTGCATGCCCAGCAGAAGATGAGCAGCAGTACAGAGGGGGAGGTGACGCCACTCCAAGTCACTCCACACCCAGAAGCAGAGGAAAGAACGAAGTGATGTCTCCATATATAAAATCCAGAACACTCCCAGCATCGAGAGGGCTACGACTGGAGGGAGAAAATGAGCAAGAAGCCGTAGGAAACCATGATAAATGACGCGGAACACACCAGCACACCACCCAGAAACAAAACGAACACCCCGGCCCCAGCGCGCAAGGTACGAAACGCACCACCTGTTTACCGGTTGGCGTAGCTCATACACCAGGCAGACACACATATCGTACATACACATAACATACAGACACATTGTACAAACACCAGGAAGGTGTACGTAACGAAGAGAAGAAACGTCGAAACTGGAAGGAGAGACGACCTGAAAACAAAACAAGGCGAAACCGAAGCGAAAGAAGACAAGAGGACGGAAGGGAAGGAACAGAGGGAAACCTCATCGGAAGTCAACAGACGTTCCAATAATATTGGAAGGTACGAAGAGGTTCACTAACCAATGAGAACCACGACATGCAAGCACAAATGCACAGAGGTTCATATGGACAAAAATACACCCCTGATCAAGGGACATGCAGGGACCCCGATACGCAGGGAACAGTATTGTGACGTAAGCACGAAAAGGGTGAGAAAAAGGGGGCGAAACACACCCCCAGGAATGATGGGACAGATGGACCCGAAGGGACACAGAACCGAACCCAGGAAGGAGTATACCCGAAACCAACATAAACACAGAGGGGCAAGGAACAACCCCACTCTGAGGAACTGCCAGGCTCTCACCGAGGGTACAAAGACCCAAGAGGGGCAAAACAGGGCTGAGGCCCCCCAGGCAACCCCTCCCCAACCTCGGGAACCTCCACTGCAAGACCCGGGCCCGAGTCGCACCCCCAAAGCCCCAGCTCTACAAGGAAAAAAGCCAGGGCAGCCGTACAAACACTAAGGAAGGGAGCCCACTGGTAAGACCCATACTGCATGGCTGGAGGAACCGACTCGAATGCCTCTGCCGCTACCCCGGAAGAGGAAAAAAACCCCC